CTACCGCCACTCAGTAAAGAGGCGCCAATCTTAACGAGCGGGGGAGATTTAGGGAGCCGTGTCCGTGCACACAAAAGGCCAAATAAACATGGAAGACCGCGACACCAAACCGCAGCAGGGCCCCGGCACAAGGCGCGGGGCCGGGCAGCGACGGCCGCCTCCCCGCCCCGGTTCACTCCGCGGCAGCCCCGAGTAGCGAGACCCGCGGCCCAGGAGCGCGGCGGCCCCGGGCCCCGCTGCGCCGCATCCAGCTCTCGCGGGCCCGCCCGGCCCCGGCCCGCGCTCCCCCTCCGCTGGCTCCTCCCCCCGCAAGGCCCCGGCTCTCCCCCTGCAGGCCCAGGCCTCGGCCATGGCCGAGTGGGAGCGCGGCGCCGGCTGTTCGCTGCCGATCGGAGCGGGGCTCCCGAAGCCTGGGCTTCCCCCGCCGGGGCCTGCTCACGGCGTGGAAGAGCCGGGAGGAGAACGTGCGTGTGTCTGTGCTGCTGCCCTGCCGCGTCCTTCCGTGCGGCGGAAGGGAAAACACAAGTTCTTCCCTGGAGCACAAGAGTTTCGGACGTAGCAGGACAGCCCCGGGCTCTGGGTGTTTGTGGTCACAACCTCCCGTTAGCGGAAGCCTTTCCATGGGACCTCGGGGGACTCTCCATGAGCAGTAACACACAGGGAGGCTTGTGACTGGTTAAGAGATGAAACTGTTCCTGCGTCAATGAGATGCAAGTGATGGTCTGCAGGAGGAGCTGTGGTGGTCACTGCTCCAAAAAGCCCTTCTGCAATGGCCTTGGGGACCTGCAGGTCAGGAGTTGTCCCTCTGCCCACTGCCAGTGATTTTTGGGTAGCCAAGGGCATCTCTGTAGAGCTGAGCCTGTTCCTCCTGGACAGGAGGAGTCTGAAGGTGAAATTCCAGTATTCTGCAGCAAACATCTTTTTGCCATTAACATGCTATTCTGCAATAACACCATGGGATAAAGCAGCATGTTCAGTGTGTGACATACTTGTGAGCTTGCAAGTAAATCCTGTGTGCCGGTCGATGGCCAAAAAATCGGAATACCGCTGCATTCAAATGTGTGGTTTTACTATGTCATTTGCAGCCAACTCATAATTTGAACAGTGAGATCTCACCTGAATGTGCAATATAGCAGCAAAACCAGACACATGATTACGTGTTCCTTGCCATTCCCTTGCACACGTGTGCATGGAAATAGTCTGTACCAAGTACCAATCCCAGTGGAACACTTGGAAAATCACACAATGAAAATGCAAGTATCTTTACCTGTCCTGATGGAGCCTTTGGCAAGGCCTTGTTTAATAATTTCCCAGCACTGTTGCACTGATGGTACCTGGTTTATCTGTCCAGAAACCAGTTTCAGAAACCCCTCCAGTAGTCCTGTTCTACTGGGCCATCACATGTAGGATACTCATCTTCTGTATCTTCACCAGGGATGGCCCAGCCTCTGCCATAGTCCAGAGGGCAGTGTCAAAGAAAACTCAATGGTCAGCATCATTAAATGAAGCATCTACTGAGAAGGTTAATGATTAAGAGACACGTTAAAAAGATTCCCATTTCCTTTCTTGATTTCCTTTCTTTCAGTGCCAGATGCGGAATCCTCACACACAAAACTCCAACCCTGACAGGTCTGGAAATATCCTTCAAGGCCTCATAAAGCATTAAAGATGTTTGTGCATCTGTTATTTGCTCGTGCTGCTATGTATGCCAGCCACAATATCACATTTGTTATGCACATCAATTGCAGCTTTGTTTTACTGGGAAGTTTGTATTTAACGTGTATCGTTCAGGCTTTAATTAAGAAATCCCATTCCTGGGACTAAGTTGGGTCTCAGAGCTCCAAAAAATCAATGGGCACAAGACAACATCCTGAACCAGGAAAAAAGCTCTCTGCAAACAGGGCGATGCTGGCAGCCACTTCCTACCATCATCTTACACAGCAGGAACAGGAGCAGCGTGAAGGGAGTTACTATTAGCCCATGGCTTTTCCCTGCCATGGGGGTTAAGCTTGGGTTGTATGACAGGTAATAAACTCCCGGGCTCGTCCGTCTCTGCAGCGTGCTCCATTCCGCTGGGCCTGTCCCAGTTTTTGTCCTGAAGCAGTGTAGCTGTGTTTGTGTAACGATGCAGATGGGGCTGTGGGCTGAGGAGTCAGTGCTCAGCAGTGCTGAGTTACAGGACTGCGGCCTGTGCTTGCAGTGGGCTTTCCCCTTGGCTGGAGTGTGAACAGGAAGCTCTCGAGCTGTAGTAGCTGATAGAGGTGCTGTAGTGTGAGTTGATAGCCTCAGTTCTTGGGCCATGATGTGGGTGGTTCTGCAGCATCAGAAAATGCTTTCTGATGAAATCAGATCCTGCTTTCCTATGGGAGCTGCCTCGTGCAGTGCCAGGGCTGTGGGGGCAAGAGTGGTGGCAAGCAGAGTCTGAATGGAAACGTGACTGTTGTGTAGAGTGTCTTTAAGTGAACAGTGCATGTGGAACGTGGCTGGTACCTGGTGCTGCCATGAGCTCACGTGGACCGTGGTCTGTGTGGCTCATTAACCACAGAGCCAGGGAATGGGTTGAGTTGGAAGGGACCTTAAAGCTCATCCAGTTCCCACCCCCTGCCGCGGTTCAGCCGGATGCAAACGCACCCCGCTGCAGCGCTCTGGGCAGCACGGACACGGCACAGGCTGCGGGAGACTTCGGGACGCGCTCCCCAGGATGGATCGCAGGGAGCAGCTTGTTTGGATCAGGCTTCCTCAACCGCTTGGCGGCTGCAGGCTCCGGCACAGCACCTCCAGGGATTACTGCCCTACTTTAGAGTCGCTGCCGAGCGGCTCCCCTCGCACCGGTTTATCCCCGCCGGGGCGGGACCCGCTCGGGGGCGGGGCCTGCTGGGGCCGGGCTGTCCCCGCCCTGCTCTCTCCGCCCCCTCCAGGCCGTGGTACCGGACGTGTCACTGCCCCCGGGATGCTCCCCCCGGAGCCGGGGTGGCTGCTCCGTCCTTGGGGTCCTCACTGCGGCAGATCCCGGCACTCCTGGGTTGTGTTTGCCCAGGGGCGGGACCTTCCACTTGTCCCTGTTGAGCTTAGAATCCCAGAATCCCAGCCCGGTTTGGGTTGGAAGGGACCTTAAAGCTCCTCCAGCTCCAGCCTCTGCCACGGGCAGGGACCCCTTCCACTGGAGCAGCTTGCTCCAAGCCCCTGTGTCCAACCTGCCCTTGAACACTGCCAGGGATGGGGCAGCCACAGCTTCTCTGGGCACCCTGTGCCAGCGCCTCAGCACCCTCCCAGGGAAGAGCTTCTGCCTCAGAGCTCATCTCAGTCTCCCCTCTGCAGGTTAAAGCCATTCCCCTTGGCCTGTCCCTACAGGCCCTTGTCCAAAGCCCCTCCCCAGGTTTCCTGCAGCACTTTCCTTTATGCACTAGAAGATTCTGACAAGGCTGAGAAGGCTCAGGGAGAGCTTGTAGTAATTCTTTACTAGATGACTGTTGGTTCCCATGAGCTTTAAAATAAAGTCATATCCATTATAGTGACAAACACTGCCTTGTCTCTACATGTGAATGAACCATGTTCTAGTCAAATTTCTATGTAGGGGGTTCAGTTGCATCTTTCTTTGTAGCTTTAATGGATCTTGTGTTTCCTTCCTGCCTGAAATAGTGTTGTAATTGTTGCTGTGAGCTTTTCAAATAGCTGCTATGCGTTACTCAATGAGCTGGCAAAATCTCACTGAGGAGTGCATCTTGTGAAAGCAAGATCCAGGCACAGCCTTTGTTTTGGTGCAGGAGGTGGGGAGACAAGTTACACTCTTACATTCGCCCATGGAAGTGCATTGGGGGAGTGATGGAAAAGCACCAGTAAATAACAGAATCGTCCATGGAGACTCCCAAAGCCTTCGTCCAAAGGATGGAGGTGATTGATTGATGTATTCTGCTCTTCTGCGTGCTTCTGAGGGAGACTTTCTGGTGCAATTACTGCAGTTAAGCAGATTACCAGCTGTGAAATCCTGCAGGCACTTGGGGGTCTCACATCTTTAATGTTTGCAGAGAGAAGCGCAGAGCTGAGCTCCCATTCGCTTGCGTTCATCCCTGGGAAGCTCTGCTTCTGATCAAGTGCAGGTCAAAGGTTGGGGGGGGGTGTTGGCTGGGGAGGTCAGTGCATCTCTTTATGGGAAAGCAGCAGAGATTGGCTATTTTATAGAGTTAAATCGATCACCAAGGCTGAGGGGTTCCTGGTGCTTTCACCAGCCTCTGAGAACTCGGTCTTGAAACTGATCCCGAAGTGCTAAAACCCCCGAGGCAGAGTCCCAGGGACAGGAAATGCACAGAGAAGCAGCAAGGTTTGGTTAAAGGGGCAGCGTGTTTGTTTGCTTTTCACTTCTCACATGTCACTTTCGTCCTCCTCGCAGGCAGGGGGCTTTGTGTAGGAAGGGCTCTAAGCAGGGCATCAGGCCTGTGAAGTCCTGGGAGTGGCAGACAGCACGTTCTTGAAGGCATCATGTTGGGAATGCTGTTGACAGGTCACAGCATCACCCGGGAGCAGCTCCTGTTGTGAGCACTCCGTGGTTCTCAAAGCGTGTTCAGATGTTGAGGCTCCTCTGCACTGCTAAGTTGCTCCGTTGAAATAATAGTGATGGATAGCAACACCTTCCCCAGGAAGGAGAGACCTTTCTGCCTTCTCCTTCCTAAGGAAGGACTAATGCTCATGAGAGGGCTGGAGCAGCTCTGCTCTGGGGACAGGCTGAGAGAGCTGGGCTGGTTCAGCCTGGAGAAGGCTCTGGGAAGACCTTAGAGCAGCTCCAGTGCCTAAAGGGGTTTTGAGGACCGATGTGTTAAAGATTAAGGCACTGACGGGATGATTGATGGCCAGGTATGAGGAAGGGGAGACTAGCTCTGGCAGAGGTAAGTGGGAGTCTTATCTGCTGGCCATGAGGAAGCTGTTCCCTGCATGTGATGCTGAGTTCTCTGGGCTGTGGTCACGTCTGTGACAACAACCGGATCTGGCAGAACCCAGAAGTACAGAACACATCCGTTTGTCACAGAGCCTGCACAGACACCATGAGCTCTGCCACTGAACCCCAGGAGCGTGGCACAGGGGCTGTCAGGATGCGCTCCTGTGTTTGTGCTCGAGCCTGAACACACCTGGGGATCCTTACAGATCAAGAGGATAATGCACAGAGTGCTCCTGGGCACAGACATGCCAAGGATCCAATGACCAGACTCGCTCAATGGGCTTGGAGAAGTTGTTTATTGATGGAAAAATATAACCAGGATCTGAAAAGAATACCTCACCAGGTTAGTTTGGAGGAGTTTTCTTCTACCCTGCCTTTGCCATTGAATTGTCAGTATGTTTTGAAAGCTTAAACACCATTCATTTAAAATCAAAGCTACACACCTAAGAAAAATAAGACCCCAAATGAGGAATGGTGTTTGCCTGAAACTGCCTTTTTTTTTCCTTCCCACCTTTTTGCTTAGAATAATGGAAATGTTGAATGTGAGTGCAGGGCAGGTCTCTAGTTTTGTGGCTGGGAGGACGAGTTGTGGGGGCAGCTGTCCCCTCCCCTCCAGCTGCGGGGCTGGAGGATGTACATAAAACACTGCCATTACAGTGGGGTTCATTTAACGGTCTCTGCAATTTCTGGCACAGGGTGCCCAGAGAAGCTGTGGCTGCCCCATCCCTGGCAGTGTCCAAGGCCAGGTTGGACACCAGGGCTTGGAGCAAGCTGCTCTAGTGGAAGGGGTCCCTGCCCGTGGCAGGGGTTGGAGCTGGAGGAGCTTTAAGGTCCCTTCAACCCAAACCAGGCTGGGATTGTGTGATTCTGTCAGCTGGGGTTTCCTCCCCTGCAGAGCACAGGATGTGCCGTGCTCTTGGATCAGCCCCAAGTCAGTGCTGAGATGGGAGTAGACTTCAGGATCCTTCCTGCTCCCACCACATCCTCTCCTGAGTCTCAGCCTCGAAGACCTGCACTGATGGTGGCAATCAAAGCAGTGAGAGCAGATCTCCCTCGTTGCATTACGTCTTTGTGAGCCCTGCGCAGCGCTGCAGGATACAGGATCTGATGATCTCCATTCCTAGCAGGGCGTGTACCTCTGCCCTCAAAGGGTAAAAGCTGGTGTAAGTGTTGTCAAATAATGAGTCACCCCTGCTGGATGTTGGACAGCGTGGCAGGCACTGGGACTGCTGGGACGCTGCATCTGCAGCCCTTACCAGAAGAGAAATCAGGAAATAACACGGGAGCTCTTTCTGGGAGCATGCCCTTGAAAATAGAGCTTTGATGCTCCCTATGACAGCAAATTTATGCTCCAGGAATCCAGGAGTCCGGCTACAGGTGACATCGTTGTCCCCAAGCCCTGCATGGACACTGCTGGGAGGTAAGAGCGAGGGTCTGTGAGCAGGGGCCATGTTTTCATGGTTACTCTGCCCATGGAGAGGGCTGGATGTAGCGTTGTAGCGTGAAGAGCGTGGTGGCCAGTGGGCAAAGCAGGCAGGTGCCTCCTGCTTGTCAGCAGAAGAGCAGGACTTGCTGTTTGTCCAAGTGACCCTCGGTGTGTCCGGGTGTTTGTATGTGCTCCAGTTTGTGCTTCAAAGGTGCGTGCAGTGCACCCAGCGCCAGCCTCAGTGCAGGGGTGCAGCTTGGCCTCTCTCCCATTGCTGTGCATTGGGTCCTGGAAGCTCCCCGCTTGGGATACTGTCCTGGAGCAGCAGGAGGTGATCACCTGTCAGAGCTGCCGTTGTCCTTCGTGGTGCAGCCAGCATGTCCATCCTCGTACCATGTGTACCACAGCGAGGGGTAGGGAGCAGACCCTGTCCTGAAGGCCATGGGGTCCTCATCCAGCCTGGAATGTGAACAGCGATGCATCCAGTCACGTCAGCCATTGGCTGTGCCTTGCACCTCCAAGTCCACTAAGATAATACGTGTGGCACAGATGCAGAGCAAAAGGATGGCTCCTGGAAGAGACAACAGGGCTGCCTGCTAAAATGAACCTTGCCACAGCTGCAGTTGTCCCTTTTTTGTTGTTGTTCTGGATAGTAACTGGATAAGGCCCCCAGATCCTCACATCATGGAGACAGGCCGGGGTTTACTGCCAGTGATGTGGAGGAGTGACTGTTACTCACCCTCCAAAAGAGAAGTAGAGCACAGAGCATCATCGCTGCTCCAAGGAGCTGAGTGAGCCCCTCTGCCTCTTGTAGCCCAGCAGAGCCAGGGAGGCTTCACCCTCCTCTGGTGAGAAGTTTCCAAGAGGCCAAAGTGGGGTTTCTCAAGGGATCCCAGCCCCACATTGCCCTGCCTGGGCCCTCATGTTCACTGAGCACCAAGAAAACCAGTCCTGGAATGAAACCATCTCTTCCCCTTCTCAGATGTTTCTCTACTCCAAAAGCTGATGCTTCCCTGGCTGGTTTGAGTTCTTAGAAACATAGAGGGGCAGCGAGCTGCAGGATAGCTTCACACTATCTCTCTTCACACATGATGGGGTGATACCACAGTATGAGGAGGCACGGCAACCCAGGCAGGGCCACCGAGGACACGGGTTTCAGTGGGTGGGCTGTCCCTTCTCCAGACCCTGTGCTGCCAAGGATTTGCCTGCTGAGTCCCCCCGTCCACAATTTCACTTGGTCCAGGGAGTCGGTGGCTGGAACACTTTGAGCCTTTTTCTCCATCCTCTGGTGTGGGGCTGCCCCACAGGATGGACAAGGCTTGTAAGGACTGTGTTGGCCAGAGGAGATAGTGGAGACAGCAGTGGCCTGGGACAGACCAGCTCAGCCCCATCCCTCCACAGCCCCTGTTGGTTTCTTCTCTGCAGGTGGCAGCAGGAGAAGACAGGGAGTCCCTGATGTGCTGACGGCCGACCATGTCTGGGGTGAGCAGGGCTGCCGCAGGGACGCCAGCACTGTCCCTTCCCACGTCGGGGTGATGTGTACTCCCAGGACCACAATGGGGTGGAGGAGGGCTCATGCCCGGTGCCCGTTGTCCCCAGCCAGGGCTGCAGATGGTCCTTGGGGCTGGCTCTGACAGCTGTGGGAGGTGGAGGGGGCCCAGCTCTCGTTGTCACTTGCTGATGCTGCCTTCTCCCTTCCAGAAGCATTGGCTCCCAGGGACACAGTGTGTCACCAAGCATAACCACACCAAGCCCAAGCCCCAGGAGCTGGCCTTCCACAAGGGCGATGTGGTCACCATCATTGAGGCTGTGGAGGTAAGCCCAGTGGATGCCCCAGGAACATGGAGTGGATGGGACCCATCATCCTACTGGGATCCCCTTTTCCTTCCCTTGCTCTGAGACCCTCTTGCCCTCAGGGCAAAGGCTGGTACCGCGCCAGACACAATGAGACGGGGCAGGAGGGGCTGATGGCAGCCAGTGCGCTGCGGCAACGGGGCCCCATCCGCACCGACCCCAAGCTCAGCCTCATGCCGTGAGTACAGCTGGGGGCCGGAGCAGCCTGCAGCCATGCCCTGGCAATGGAGAGATTAGTTGGGGCTTAGAGACCCCAGTTGTGCCCAGCCAGCTGGGATGGACCTCATGGGAAGGGGCTTTATGCAATGGCATCTGCATAGCTTTGCTGGGGCCTCTGCTTTCTCCGTGTCACTGCCGGTGTCGGGGAAGCCGCCCAGCACAGCCAGTCTCACGGTGTCCTCTCCCCAGTTGGTTCCATGGGAAGATCTCGGGGGTGGAGGCAGTGCAGGAGCTGCAGCCCCCTGAGGATGGGCTGTTCCTGGTGCGCGAGTCTGTGCGGCACCCAGGGGACTACGTGCTGTGCGTGAGCTTTGGCAGGGAGGTGATCCACTACCGCGTGGTGCACGAGGAGAACACACTCAGCATCGACAGCCAGCAGTGCTTCTCCAACCTCATCGACATGATCGAGGTGAGACCCCCTTCGCCAGGCAGGGAGCCCCACCAGAACCAAACCTCATGGGGCCACACACAGTGGTGGCAAGTCCCTGTCCTTTTCTCCCTCATGTGGGTTCTCCCCATCCTGGCTCATTCAGTGCTTCACTCGGCAGCAGGGCTTAGGGCATGTTGGAAACCAAAGATCCTGGCAGCCTCTGGACAGGGTCTGAAGCCCAGCGAGGTGTTTTGCCACATCTCTGTCCCCTCCAAGCCTCCTCTCTCTTGCTGCTGCCCATCTCCTCACCAGGGCTTTGCATTCTCATATGCTTTCCTCATTTAGACACAAATTCTGCTTTCAGGTAGGTCCTTCCCCCTTTCAGCTCCTCTGGCTCCACTCTGTAACCGCAGCTGCCATCGCTTCCTCTCCTTATCGCCTCTGTAAACCACCCTCCACTGCCAGGGCTATAACCCATCGGCTGCTGTCCAGCTCACCGGCGGCATCCTGGAGCACCCCAAGTCCATCACGGTGTTCCCTGGCTGTGTCCAGTGGGAGCAGGGCTGAGATGCGGGCTGCAAATTGCAGTGCCAGGGGAAACGTGGCCCCTTGTGGGTGGCAATGATGGGGGGGGACCCATGGAGCATCCCTCAGCTCCATACCCCAAGCCTGGGGTAAGAGGTGGCATCACTGCTTTGCCTCCATCATGCACCCCTCGGCAGTACTACATGAAGGAGCAGGGAGCCATCTGCACCAAGCTGGTGAAGCCCAAGGCAAAAAGCGGGATGAAGTCAGCCGAGGAGGAGTTGGCCAAAGGTAGGGGATGAGGCAGAGGGTCGTGGTCCGGGTTTTGGGGACAAGGCAGCATGGTGGCCCCTGCTGACCTGCCCTTGTGCCCATGCCCAGCTGGCTGGCTGCTGAGCCTGCAGCATCTCACGCTGGGAGACCGCATCGGGCAAGGCGAGTTTGGAGGTAGGTGAGACGATGGGCTTGGAGCTTCCCTGACCCCAGGCTTCCCCAAATGGCACCCCCTAATGTGTTCACCCCATCCCCATGGCATGGGGGGGCTCAGACTGGGATGAGGGGAGTCGGGTGTGGGGCTGAGCCTGAGCCCCCTCATCCCCTCACAGATGTGCTGCAGGGTGAGTACATGGGGCAGAAGGTGGCTGTGAAGAACATCAAATGTGATGTGACCGCCCAGGCCTTCCTCACTGAAACTGCTGCCATGACGTGAGTCCCCCGGGGTACAGCCTCGCCCTGCCTCGTGTCCCAGGGACGAGCGGGCACCCCCTTGACCCGGATCCCCTCCACTTCAGGAAGGTCCGGCACAAAAACCTGGTGTGTTTGCTTGGTGTCGTCCTGCACAACGGCCTCTACATCGTGATGGAATTCATGAGCAAGGTGGGAGTCCCCGGCCGGTCCTCAGCCAGCAGGACCTATTGCCACTCAGATCTGGGGACAAATCCATGTTTAGCGGCTGAATTGGATGGATGCTGGGCACTGCAGAGGCAAAGCCTCTGGGCAGCCCCATCAGGTTGGTCCTGACGTGTTTATCCTCCTCTATCAGGGCAACCTGGTGAACTTCTTGCGCACACGGGGCCGGGCGCTTGTCCCAGCCGAGCAGCTCCTCCTCTTTGCTCTGTAAGTCCATGTCCCTCCCTTCGGGCTGGGAACTGATGCTCTGCATCCCCCAGGCATCCCCAGGGATCATGAGGTGACACTGTGCTCTGCCTCCTTTGCCCACCACAGGGACGTGGCTCAGGGCATGGACTACCTGGAGTCCAAGAAGCTGGTGCACAGGGACCTGGCTGCCCGCAACATCCTCATCTCTGAGGAGAGCGTGGCCAAAGTGAGCGATTTTGGCTTGGCCAGGGTCAATCCTAAGGGTGCAGATACCACTTTGCTGCCTGTCAAGTGGACGGCCCCAGAGGCCCTGAAACACAATGTGAGTGGTGGTGGGAAGGCATGAGGGGTACAGGGGGGGTCCTCCCAAAGCAGCTCCGGGGTCCCTCTGCTCATCCTTGTCCTGCAGTGGCTTCTGGCACATTCAGCCCTGCACCTCCCAAAATTCGGGCTCTGCCCTGGCCAGCCCTTGCCCTGGTGCATAGCAGGTATTGGGGCAGCTCCACAGAGATGTGGCAGGATCACCCCCGGGGCTGTGCAGGTGATGGGAAGGGGGAGTTGGGGATGGCAGGGAGCAGCCTCTGGCTCCTGTTTTGCCCTCGGGGAGGTCGGCTTCAGCCTCCCCTCCTTCTGCTGCTGCAGAAATTCTCCTCCAAGTCAGACGTGTGGAGCTACGGAGTCCTCCTGTGGGAAACCTTCTCTTTCGGCCGCGCGCCCTACCCCAAGCTGGTGAGTGCTGTGCCAGGGGATGCTGCAGGTCAATGGGATGGGGACATCCCAGTGTCCCCTGCCTGGGGCAAGGGGCAGGGAAGGGGAGTCTCAGCTGCGTTCTCCATCCTGCCAGAGCCTGAAGGAGGTGACGGAGCTTCTGGAGCAGGGGTACCGCATGGAGCCCCCTGAGGGCTGCCCCCACACCGTCTATGCCCTGATGAAGAGCTGCTGGGCGCTGGAGCCGGGCAAGCGGCCGTCCTTCAAGAAGCTCACTGAGAAGCTGCAGAAGGAGCTGAAGCACCTGAGGGATGTTTAACCCCTGTCTCCTCCCAGGACCTGTGGCCAGAAGCCCCCTGGACCCACCAGGGTTGGGACTATCATCACAACATACATCCCATGGGGTGTGGGTCCCTTCGAGCTGCCCATCCCCGTGACAGGGACAGGACGGAACATCTCCACCCACTGGAGGATGGAACCTGAACCCTGAGGCAGCCCCGCTCCAGCCACCGCCTGCAGCAGCTGAACCACATGGATCTGGGCTTTTTTGATTAAACCAAAGGAATTAATTCAACAGCGTCTTTCAGCCCCTGGGCTCAAATTAGGCCAGACCTTCCCCTGGGCCCTGGCAAAGGTCTGGAGGGATCCCCTTGCACCTCCTCTGCACCAGCTCCTTCCACCAGCCCTCCCTGTGCTCGTGTGGGTGACTGTGGGTTCCCAGCACAGGGCTCCATGGTGCACAGCAAGGGGGAAGAGGAGGAGGAAGGAGGCCCTGGGGTGCTGCCCTCCACTGGGGCCCATGCGATGGGAGGTCTCCTGGCTGCATGCAGGGTGTGCTGGGGCTCCCACCTCCCCAGCACCCTCATGGGGCAGCATCCCAGCATGTCCCTCAGCACTCTTGGGTGCAGCGAGCAGCACCTGAAGACATTCCCACACCAATGCCTGTGGCTTCCCCTCCTAATGCCTTAATCTGCCCCTGATCCGCGGTGCCCCTGGGGCTGGTCCTGCTGACCTTGCAGGCACTGGTCTGGGCTGGGACCAGCGGCATCGTGGGGCACAGGCAGCCACAGCCACCACTCATGGCCTCCTTCTTCACGGCTGCCTTGAAGAACTTCAAGGGGGGCGAGGAGGAGCCACCCAAGGGGCCCCCCAAGGATGCCAAGGAGGTCGCGCTGCCCAGCGGCATGAACCGCGAGGAGTTTGAGGAGTACCAGCGACAGCTGCTGGAGGAGAAGTGAGGCTTTGGTGGGGCTGGGGGTCAATGGGGTCCCCCATGCACAGGGACTGGGGGCCCACCTGCAACATGGGCTCTCCCAGGGCAGCACAGGGACAGGGAAGCAGCCAGGGCAAAGGACAGGAGCAGAGCACAGGAGGTCCCTGTGGGTGCTGGGGCTGGGTCAGGGGTTTGGTGCATTGTAGGTGACAAGGGTCATCCATGGGTGCCAGTGCCTTGATGTGGTGGGTGCCTGGTGCCAGCCCAGCACCCGTGGAGCTGAGGGACGAGGGGGGCCAGCATGGGATTACATTAAGGTCCCACCACCTTGAGTCTGGTGCTGTGGGGACCCAGTGACCCAGCATCCAGGAGCTGAGCAAGCCCCTCCAATGGGCACCTTCACTGAGCATCTCCACTGGGGCTGGAGGGGCAGGATGTGGCCCCTGCCCTCTGTACCCCATTACAACCCTCCTGTGGACCTCGGCATCTCCTTCTCCATCCACCCCAATGAGGAAGGAGAAGCTTAAAGTCGAAAGCTCTAAGACAAAACGTTGCAAGGGTTGAAAATGCTTGTCCTGTGCTGCTGGGGGACCAGGGCGATGCCGGGGAGGGTGGTTCTGGTGGGGTGGGAAGTGACAAGGTGGCACCCGCCGCTGCAGGATTGAGCGGGACAAGGCCTTTGCACAGAGGAAGGCGGGGAGGGCCGCTGTCCGGATGCACCTGCGGGACAAGTACCGCCTGGCCCAGGTAAGGACCAGCCCGTGCAGGGACCTCGAGGTCTTCCCATGGACCCTCCGGGACAGCCCCAGGCCGGGCGCCTGCCCAGGGAGGTGATTCCTGAAGAGGGCAGCAAACGGCTGCGCGTGTCTGCCCCGTGGTCCGCGTATGGAACCGGACAGTCCCGGCGTCCCCCACCTTTCCCAATGCCCCCCCCAGGGGACCGGTTCCCCCACAGCCCGCACCCACGGCCGGTGGCGGCCAGGTCTACCCGCACCCAACACCCTGCCCCGCGCAGGATGAGCGGGACGATGCTCAGCTGCACGTGGCCGGCGGCGCGGTGGAGCTGCCGCAGGAGTTGGCCCCCATGGTGCACGGTGAGGAGGAGGAGGACGAGGAGGAGGGCGGCAGCACCGGGGCCTTCGCCTACCTGAGCAAGCTGCGGGACGTGGACCTGCTGGCGCTGCGGGACCGGGCACTGGGCAGCGTGGGTGAGGTGAAGGAGAAGTGTGCCCTGATGTGATGCTGCTGCCCACCCCAGCAGTGCTGGGCCGACGGGATGTGCAGGTTGTGGGTGCCATTACCTGGGCTGAGCATCCCAGTACCTGCCCTGGAGTGGGGTTTCCTCCCCAGACTCATTCCTTATTGCTTTTCTGGGTTGCTGGGCTGCAGAATGTCTGGGTCCCCACCAGCCCCTCCCTGTGGTGCCCCTGGTCTGAGCCCCAGGACGGGTGGGGGGGACTCTGATGCTCTGTGGCCCCCAGGAACCAGCACTGCGGCCTCAGACACCGTTTGCAGCTGTCCCATCCATGGCAGTGCTCAAGGCCATGTTGGACACAGGGCTTGGAGCAAGCTGCTCCAGTGGAAGGGGTCCCTGCTCGTGGCAGGGGTTGGAACAGGAGGAGCCTTCAGTCCAAACCAGGCTGGGATTTTGTGACGATTTGGCTCAATAAAGGCAGTGTTTGCTGGCACCACTCTGCTCTTCCTGCTGTACCCTCATCCACACAAACCCCATCCCGGGCTGGGGGTTATGTGTGGATTCAATGACACCACTACAGCAGAGCTGCCCTACATGCCCCAGAGCCAGGAACCAGCCCATTACACTTGGCCCCAGATCCCTCCCTACCTTCTACAGCAGCCCCCAGGCAATGGAGCCAGTGGGACCGGATGGCCCCGCACCCTGGGGCACCCCTTGAGGGGCAGCACCAATGAGGTGAGGATGGTGGCAGCATTTATCCCCCCTTGAGCATCCCCTACCAGTGCAGGCAGCAATGTGGTCATTTTGGCGGGGTCCCTTTGGCCGGGTCCCTTTGGCCATGGTTCCCCTCTGCCTCTCACCTCTCTGGGGACCTGCTCCCTGCCCGCAGGCGCTGCAGCAGCGCTGGCTCACCCGCCGCGGGGCCGGAAAGCTGCGGGCTGCTGGGACCACTCAATACCTGCCTATTTTAGCGGGGTTTAATCTGCCTGAGCCCCGAGGACTCCGCTCGCAGAACCCGTGTAAAAGGAACGGCCCCAGCGACACCTCCCGCCGGAGCCGAAGCTGGAGCTGGAGCCGGAGCCGGAGCTGGAGCCGCCGGCGGAGTCCCGCTGTGTCTGCATGAAAGCGTGGACGCGCTGAGCCGTCTCCGGGCTCCCCACGCCGGGGCCATCTGCTCCGGAAGGATCTGTGGGGATGGCCCAGCCCCGGGCTGCCCAAGGCTGCGCGATGGGGCTGGGAGGGTGGGAGCTGCGCCATAGAGCTCGTCGTTGTCACAAGAGCCACAGGTCTCAGCCCCGAAGCTGCAGGAGCTCCAGCAAGGGGGGTCCCTGGGTGCATGAGGTGCTCGGTGTGTCCGCAGCATGGACATGTACCCCTCCAGGTACCAGCCGAGGGGCTGCTGGAGCATCCCTGGGGGTGTATGACATGAGCTTAACACCCAGGAGCCTCTGCCCATGTCCTTCCATGCCCACAGTTCCCACCATTCCCACCATCCCCACCATCCCCGCCATCCCCCCCATCCCCGCCATCCCCATCCCCACCATCCCCCCATCCCCGCCATCCCCCCCATCCCCCCCATCCCCACCATCCCTGCCATCCCCACCATCCCCATCCCCACCATCCCCGCCATCCCCGCTATCCCCACCATCCCCATCCCCCCCATCCCCCCCATCCCTGCTATCCCCACCATCCCCGCCATCCCCCCCATCCCCCCCATCCCCCCCATCCCCGCCATCCCCATCCCCCCCATCCCCGCCATTCCCACCATCCCCCCATCCCCCCATCCCCGCCATCCCCATCCCCCCCATCCCCGCCATCCCCCCCATCCCCCCATCCCCCCCATCCCCGCCATCCCCATCCCCCCCATCCCCGCCATTCCCACCATCCCCCCATCCCCACCATCCCCGCCATCCCCACCATCCCCCCCATCCCTGCCATCCCCCCCATCCCCGCCATCCCCGCCATCCCCACCCCCCCATCCCCACCATCCCCATCCCCCCATCCCCCCCATCCCCGCCATCCCCACCATCCCCCCCATCCCTGCCATCCCCCCCATCCCCGCCATCCCCGCCATCCCCCCCATCCCCGCCATCCCCCCCATCCCCGCCATCCCCATCCCCGCCATCCCTGCTATCCCCCCCATCCCCGCCATCCCTGCCATCCCCACCATCCCTGCTATCCCCACCATTCCCACCATCCCTGCTATCCCCACCATTCCCACCATCCCCACCATCCCCGCCATCCCCCCCATCCCCCCCATCCCCGCCATCCCCCCCATCCCCACCATCCCTGCTATCCCCACCATTCCCACCATCCCTGCTATCCCCACCATTCCCACCATCCCTGCTCTCCAGCCTTTCTTTAGCACCTGCAAAATCTCTCAATTCGGGCACAAAAATTCACAATTCACTGCTCTGCATGGGATGGGGCCACCCCTGCCCCAGCAGTCCCCCAGCCAGCTCCCTGATGGGTGGCAGCAGCACTGGCACTCAGCACCGTGACTCAACACCAAGTGCCAGCACTTGACAGGGTCCCCAGGGTACCCAGCCCACCCGGCCCGCAGCAGGTTCCTCCATCCCTGCTCCGCACTGGGATCCCATCCCACCCTGACCCATCCCAGCCAGTGGGGCTGCATCCCGGTGCCAGCTGGGATCCGGGTCAGGACCCTGAGGCAGGTCTCTGGATAATCAGCCTGTCCCCCCACGCTGCCACCTGCCTCCAGCCCAGCACCCTTTTGGGTCACCCCTGCCCAAGGCCTCTTAATGAACTAAAAAGGTGACAAATCCCCACTGGAGCTGGTGACGTGGGGCCAGTGCCCCCCGGGCCGCCCCCCGCCCGGCCCCGGCCCCGGTAAGCTGACGCAGCGTCTCTAAGCGTTAGCGGCTTTGCCCGTTAATAGGATTAGGGAGGTTTAAAACTGTCATTTGAGTGAACTAAACCCCCTGATACTCTGCATTGCACCTTCTTAACCAATTTGCCTTCAATTAGGGTAATTGGGAAACGAGCAAAGAAGTACAGCATTAATATTTTAAAGTGATGAAGCGATTATGGGCCTTGGGTGAGGAAGCAAATCAATTTGCTATCTGCTCCTGCAAGGCCATTAGAATCATTGGGCACCAGCAGCCTCCCCCCGCTGCCCCCCCCCCTTCAGGTGGTCAGGGAGGGCTCCTAAGACCAGCTCGCAGCATGGCAGCACCCACCAGGGCCATGGGGACACCCCAGAGGAGCCACCAGAGCAGAGGACCAGCACCAGCCGCACTGGGGACACCAAGTCCAAGTGCCTGTTTGCATCTCCAGCCCCATGAGCTGTACCAGTGCCTGGGGATGTCCCCAGTGCCCCCAAAGGCAGCACGCCCCTGCTGCAGGTAGGGCACTGTATGGTGTTGGGGTGTCACCGGTCCCCAAGGACTGAGTGTGCCACCCCCCTGCTGTGGGCCCATGTCCCTGGGGTGGTGGCAATGCCACAGTCATAGAATCCCAGCCTGGTTTGACCTGGAAGGGACCTTAAAGCTCCTCCGGTCCCAACCCCTGCCACGGGCAGGGACCCCTTCCACTGGAGCAGCTTGCTCCAAGCCCCTGTGTCCAACCTGGCCTTGAACACTGCCAAGGATGGGGCAGCCACAGCTCCTCCGGGCACCCCCAATATCTCTGAGCTGTCCCCATAGTGGTCAGACCGCGCAGGAGAAGCCCCACGGCCCCACTGGGATGGACACTGAGATGGCCGCTGACCCAAACTAGAGCACAGAGGTGGCCATGGGGTCCCACAGCACGGGGCCAGCAGCCACCCGGTGTGGGGCAGCCAACTCCCCCCCCAGGTGACATTTGCCATCCGAAAGCAGAACCATGGTGAGGAGGGGAAGGGGGTGGGAGGGAGCTGAGGCAGCTTCTGCAGGTGGCAGGAAGAGGTCTGGGGAGGAAAAACCAAAGTGAGCAGAGAAAGAAAAGGGACCTCCCCCCCGAGGAATGGGCACAGCAACAGGGACCCCACGACCCCCCTCATGATGGCTCCATTTTCCCCCAGTGTTTCTGTCCCCCAGCCCGGCTGCCTCTGCCCCTCATCCCCACGTCAGGGCCCATGGGCAGCCCCCACAGCTGGACCCCACCGAGTGTCACCATGCCTGGTCCCTGTGCTCAGCCCCATGGCCGGGAATGGACGAGGTGGGACCCTCACACCCGGTCCCATGGACAGTGCCCAGGGCCTGCTCCCCATGGCTACTCCCCACACGCAGTCCCCCTGCCTGGTCCCTACCCTTGTTCCCCGTTCAAGGTCCCCAGGGCTGTTCAGGCTGCCCAGTCCCTATGGTCCCTACACCTGGTCCCCCCTACCCAGACCCCACGGCGGGTCCCCAGCCTCCATAACCCCCTCCCCACACTTGGTCCTCACAGCTGCACCCATGCCCGGTGCCCATCCCTGTCCCCACGCCGCGTTCCCATCGCTCCCAGCTCCCCATCCCCATCACGGGGACCAGCCGCTGCATCCCCATCCCACCAGGGCTTGGGGAGCTCCATCCACCGCCAGAGGAGATCCTCCTCCCTCCCCCCTCCCATCTCCCGGCCTTTCTTCTCCGCTCCCCCTGTCTCTAATTCTTCCTCCTGGCTGTAATGAGGGGATTACACAGCAAACTCCAGCAGGACGCCTTTGTGGGGAGACAATCCGAGTGGGGAAGGCAGTTCGGGGCTTTGTCCTCCACCGCCCCCCGGACCCGCGCTGGGGGGGGACATTTAGAGCAATTACTTGTCCAGAAAGTAACTGTCAATCATTCTTAAAGGGGAAGGCCTCCAATTAATAACCTCGTCTTAATCCCTTGGACTCATTTCCAATCTGCGGTGCCTTGGTGACATCTGCAACACTAAATAAAGATTCTCCCGAGCCTTAGCACCGCGGTTCTGTGACAAATAAGAAGACTAAGAGGCAACTTTGGCTGCCAAATCTGCGAGATCGGCGCGCTTGAGCCGTTTGTTTGGTTCCCAGGAGGGACCAGCAAAGTTAAATACTCCTGGAAAAGCCGAGCTGGGCCCAGCAGGTAATGCCTTTTATTGCGGTTCGGGAGGAAGCGTCCAGGGGAGAGGCTGAGGACGGGACCGGGCAACCCTGGTGTGTCCCTGGGGTGTCCCCAGGGCTGGGACCCTTCCTCGGCGCTCGGGAGCAGGCGCTGGTTCCCATCAGCATCACTCACACCTCAGTGCCGGAGGGCAGGAGCTGTCCTTGCTCCCCAGCAGCATCAGCAAGCCCAATCCTGGCAGCCAGATGGGCTTTGGAGGGGAGAACCCCGGGACCCCCTGAGAGCCAGGGCTGTGTCCTCCGTGTCCCTGCTGCTGGGGAGGCCGCTTGTCCCCACTGATGTTCTGCTGTTGCTGGCTCTGGGGAAATCAACTTTGTCCAACCTCAGCCAGGGCTTGATGCTGCTCCTGTTGCTTTTTTGGGTGCCCTCCATAAGAGGGAATCCCACGCCAGCCGGCAGCTCCTGTGGGAAAGCCACAGGTCAAGGCACCGAGTAGATGGGGACGAACCCTCCTGAGGCTCCGGGCCCTTGTGCTTCCAGCACAGTTGTAAAGCTCAAGGGCTCAAACCCCCAAATTGCCACCAGGATGATGCAGGAAAATGTCCATTGCGAGCAGGGGGGGGCTCTTCCCTGCACCCGGATTGAGGCAGCAATCCCAAGTGGTGCAGGCTCAGGGATCTGAGGAATGGGAGCCATGGGGTGACTGGTGCCAATGGGGTCCCCTCTGTGGCCAGGGATATCCATGGCCATGGCCACGCAGAGCAGTGGGAGGGGGGCCAGCCCTGCAGGGTTGTTTTGCTTTCTTCATGTCATTCCCATTCCCATTCCAGGGCTTCCTCAGCTTCCCGGTGGGATTTGAACTTCCTTTGCCTCCTGATGGGGTCAGGGTGGGGGGACACTGACCCCTCCTCACACTTGCCCCATTCTGTCCCAGCACCCCCAGCCTGCGCCACCCTTCACTCTCAGCACCCATTGCACCCATTCCCATTGCCCCAGTGCCCCCATTGCCCTGGGGGGCCATGGTGGGGTGCTGGGACCCACAGGGGGTCTGGGACCCAGGTGGAGGCTCCGGGTGCTCAGCCCCTTCCCTTCTTCTTTCAGGTGCAGAGCTGCTCAAATGAGAAGCGGGTGAGTGAGAAGGGGGTGGCAGCGGGGGGGGGACCCTGAACCCTGCCCACATCCCAGCCCAGGACACACCATGACACTTGCACAGTGTCCCCTGCATCCCCAGCACCACCCACCCCATCCCCAGAGCACCCCATGGTCAGCACCCACCCCCCGGTGGATCCACCCCACATGCTTGAATCCCCAGGGAATACTGCAGGAGGATTTCCAGTGCCCGATGGAAAGCTCAAAGGTGGAACATTGCAAGGGTTGAACCTGCTCGTATCATGTGGGAAAAGGTTCTTAGCCCAGGGGGACTGCACTGGGTTGCTCTGGCCATGTTTGGGGACCACCACTGGGTCCTCCAAAGGCTTGGGGCTGAACTCATAATCCATAAGGAAGAGGCTGGAAGAGAGGAACTGGGCTGGAAGGATGGAGCTGACCCAGGCTCAGTCTCCTCCACACCAGGGCAGGTGAGCTCCTGCCGATGGTGCTTTCATAAAACCCTCTACTTGAGGTGAAATTTGGCTTTTGGCTTCAGGGCACATTGGCCTGGTGGGATCTGAGAGTGGAGCCAAGCATGGGTGCTCAGGACACCATTCCCAGGACCCCGTGTCAATCCTGGGGATAGTGCTGCAGCAGAAGAGATTACACCTTTGCATAACCCATCCATCATCCATCAACCATCCATCCATCATCCCTCCATGCATCCACCTACCCACCCATCCATCCGTCCATCAACCATCCCTCCCTCCCTCCCTCCCTCCCTCCATCCCTCCCTCCATCCCTCCATCCATCCCTCCATCCATCCCTCCATCCACCCCCTTGTCCAGCTGTCCCTGACCTGGGGTTTCATGGGAGAGCCGCAGTCCCCACGCTCCGGGTAACCCCCAGTCCCCTCACAGGCACCACCATGTTCCTGAATAAGTGCGAGGGGGACTCCGAGGCTGCCCCCCCGGCCGCCGCCGCTGCCGAGGAGGAGGAGGAGCAGCCCAAGAAGAAGCACCGGCGGAACCGCACCACCTTCACCACGTACCAGCTCCACGAGCTGGAGCGCGCCTTCGAGAAGTCCCACTACCCCGACGTGTACAGCCGCGAGGAGCTCGCCATGAAGGTCAACCTGCCCGAGGTCCGCGTGCAGGTAGGGCCAGGGGCACCCCAGGGGAGGCAGGGAGCACCCAGCACTGCAGAGCTTCGCTCTGAGCCCAGCTCCGTGTTTCAGTTTCCCCATTGCACAAGGGCAAGGGTGGCTCCTCTGCAGGCCTGGCTGCTCCTGCCCAGAAAAGGGGCTCGATGGCTGAGCCTGGCTCTCCAGCCCGAGTGCCAGAGGCTCTGTTCGGGCAGGGAGATGGGGTTTAGACCCCGTTTTCCTTTGCTGGTGGTGGCTGCTCCCATCCCTGCAGCTGATCCAACAGAAAAGCAACCGAACAACTGCTCATGGCCACTTCTACTGGGAAAGCAGAAGCTCCTGATGGATTTGAGGGGTTTGGGGTTGTCAGAGCAGGGTGGCTCCAGGAGGGCTCAGGAAGTTTTGCTTCCTGAGGAAGAGCCTGGGGTCCCACCGGGATGCTCCCAATTGGCCCTGGGTTAAGGTCCCCCCTGAGCCTTCTCTTCTCCAGACTGAACCCCCCAGGTCCCTCAGCTGTTCCCCATCACACTTGTGCTCCAGGCCCTGCACCAGCTCCTGTGCCCTTCTCTGGACAAACTCTGGCAAGTTTGCACCAGCACAGCCCAGTGTCCACCAGCAACTGTGACCGGTCCCTGGAGCTCCCCTGCTCTGCTCCCCCATCACAGTTTGGCTTCTAGAAGCTTTTGCCCGGGGGCTTCTGAAGGCCAGATGACATTAGACTGACTGACCGGTACCCAGTATGGGCACCCCAGAGTGGCCACCCCACCTGGAACATTCCATGAGGGACACACCATATGGGATACAGCCCCGTGGTGCACGGTGGGGCTCACCCTGGCTCTCACCTCACAGGTTTGGTTCCAGAACCGACGAGCCAAGTGGAGGCGGCAGGAGAAGATGGAGGCCAACTCCATGAAGCTCCACGACACCCCCATGCTCTCCTTCAACCGGCCCCCCATGACCCCCAACGTGGGGCCCATGAGCAACTCCCTCCCGCTGGACCCATGGCTGACGTCCCCCATCTCCAGTGCCACCACGGTCCACAGCATCCCCGGCTTCATGGGAGCCCCCCAGGCCCTGCAGCCCCCCTATGGGGGTCACTCCTTCCTCAGCACTCCGCCGCCCATGGCGCAGGGCATGCAGCCCATGGCCCCCGCGCCCTACCAGTGCGGCACCACCTTTGTGGACAAGTACCCGCTGGAGGAGGTGGACCAGAGGAGCTCCAGCATCGCCTCACTCCGCATGAAAGCCAAGGAGCACATTCAGACCATTGACAAGACCTGGCAGCCCATTTGATGAATGCTCCCCTCCGGCTCCTCATCCTCACCCCGGCACCGGCTCAGCCCCCGGGCAGGCGAGGGGGGTGATAGTGGGACCATTGGGATCAGCAGGACCAGCACAGGACAGGGATGCTGGGCTGCATCTCCCCCTGCTGAGCCAGCACTGCTACTGCCAGGGGAGCAAGCGGGGTGCTGGTGGGACCCCGCGGTTTGGGGGCACCCTGGCAGCCTTGCCAAGGCATTGACCTGGCCTGAGGATATGGCCAAGTCTCGGGGGTCCCAGTTGGACATCTCCTTGTCCCACCCTTTCCCCTTCTTATTATTAACATTTTTTTTAATGCTGCAGATTTGAACAGAACAGACACAAAGCTCCAGGTTTAGGGAGTATTTGGGGGGATTCTTTTTTAGCCGCATCGGGGACGATGCTCGGTGTGCTGGTAGATGAGGAGATGGCTGTATCCTGAGTAAAGAGAGAAACGTAACGGCAGCCGCATTGGCTGTGCTGCTCATTAGTGTGCTGAGAGCTCCGGGGGGGGGCATGCGGGAGCATCACCCAGGACACCCCCCCCCCCTCGCCCTTGGGTTGGGCTCGGATACAGGCACCAGTGACTTGCTCTGGGCTGTGGCTGTGTTCTCAGCAGCTCATCAAGGGGCATCTGCTCACCCCCCCTTGGTCCAACTGCCCCCATTGCTCCCCTGTGGAACTCACCTGGCCACATGCTGGTATCACAAAGCCACCCCATGGCACTGGGTGGCAGCGGGACCTCAGCTTGGTGACAGGGCCAGGAGCCCTGGGAACCTCACGGCACCTGTGGGAGGGTGACAAGGTGTCCCGGGGGCTCCCAGCATGGCTCTGCAGCCCCAGGGGACCCAGCTGCCCGGCACCAGGGCTCAGTGACACCATCATAGAGGGGCCTGCAGAGGAGACCTTCCCCTTGAACAGAGATGGATGAACCTGCGGTGGCTTTGGGGTGCTGAAGCATGGATGGCTGGTGGGATGGGGGCTCAGCCCCGGGCCAGTGGGAGCCCCAGGTCCCTGGGGATCCCTAGGGAAGAGGAGCGGGCTCCAAGTGATCTTCCTCCCACCAACACAAGAAGTTTCCTGAACCCAGGGTGTTGCTGGGACCGGGTGTGGGGATGCTGCCCCATCCCCGAAGTGTCCCCACCACCCCAGGGGGTCTCCCCCGCACCAGACCCCATCCAGCGTGCCCAGGGTCAGGCTGGGATGCCACCGGGCCAGCCGAGGCGCTGACCCCAGCGAGACCCTGCTCCTTGTGTGCCCCCCGTCCCCCGGCTGCTGCTGCCCGGCTGCTTCGTTAGTAACAATTAAACCTCCAACGAGCCATTAAAAGCATAATCGATGTTCCCCCGGCTCCGCAGCCCAGCTAATGGGGCAGGGCCGGGGCAAAGCAGCCGCGCTGCGGCGGGGACATAATGAACTAAGGGCAGTGGAAGTAATGGGGTTTGATCCGAGGGAAGGGACGCGCTCAATGGGGCTGCACGTTTCACATGACATCAGTGCCGAGGCTGGCGCCAGCGCGGGGCTCCCCCCGGCTCCCCAGCGCCAACAAAAGCCGTGAGCGCGGCGGCTCAGCGGCCCCCACCCGGCCAAGGGGGCACTGATGGGGCTGAGGCTGCTCCTGCCCCACTTCCCCCACTGGCCACTGCCACCCAAAAGCGTCTCCCTGGCTTGGGATGCAGTGGGCGTGCAGTGGGGCAAGGGCAGCATGGCACCCACGGGGGGACCCTAATGGGGGGGGTGACCTTCCCTCCCGAGGGCATTTAATGCAGAAACAGGCAAGAGTTGTGGTCTAAACCGATGCCATTTCACTGCAGGACAGAGCCCAGAGCCCCCATCCTCCCCTCCTTACTGATGCTTTCCCCACTTGAGATCCAGTTTGGGGAAAACCCAAGCAAAAAGGCATTTTTCACCCCCCTCAGAGATCCCAATCCCATCTGAAATCACTGACTGCCCCCTCCCGCACCAGAGCTCGTACTGGGAGGACTGGGGCATTCTCCCAGGCCCTCGTGACAGAGCAGGAGCCCTCCCACTCCCACCCTCTCTAATCCCCTCCTGCAGGATTTGCCCCTTAATCTGCTTATTTCTCTCTATTTCTTCCAGACCTGGATGAAGCCAACCCTGCTCCAGTACTGAGCTGTGGGCTCTGGGCACCATGCCCCTGCGCACATGGGGCTGGCACTGCCCAGGGACATGGCTGAGGGTGCTGCAGGACCTGCAGCCCTGACATGGTCGAGCAGTGACCGTCGGCTGCAGAGGGGATGAGGCAGCAAACTGAGCACCCAGAGCTCCATAGGGCTGCTCACAGGTCCCCCAGCTGCAGGTCCTGGCACCCATGGGTGGAATGAGACAAGTGGACATGAGGAAGACACAGGGTATTCCCTCAACCTATGGAGCCAGGCTGAGAGCTGGCCTGGGGCAGCCTGGAGAAGAGAAGGCTCCTTAAGGAGAGACCTTAGAGCAGCTCCAGTGCCTAAAGGAAACCTGGAGAGGGGCTTTGGACAAGGGCCTGTAGGGACAGGCCAAGGGGAATGGCTTTAACCTGCCAGAGGGGAGACAGAGATAACTCTTAGGCAGAAGCTCTTCCCTGTGAGGGTGCTGAGGCGCTGGCACAGGGTGCCCAGAGAAGCTGTGGCTGCCCCATCCCTGGCAGTGTTCAAGGCCAGGTTGGACACAGGGGCCTGGAGCAAGCTGCTCCAGTGGAAGGGGTCGCTGCCCGTGGCAGGGGTTGGGGCTGGAGGAGCTTTAAGGTCCCTTCCAACCCAAACCATTCCATAATACAACTCCTCCATGGGCACCGTAACCCCAGAAGGTCCAGAGCTGGGGTGCAACATGGCAGTCAATGTCCTGCGGGAGCCACCCCATTCCTGATGGGAACAAGTGGTGCCCCACAGGTTCCAGTCTGGGGACCCTCTCTCGGGGCCCACCTGCACGGAGGCTGCTCCTCTCCACCTGGACGCACACCCACTGGGAGAAGGTGAAGGCATTCCCACGGTTCACACGGCAGATGAACCACTCAGAACGGCCCCGCAGTGCAGCCGTGTCCATCACCAGTTCCGGGGCCGTGGCTCCAGGCACCTACAGGACAGGAGGTGACCAGGACTGGGGTCCCTCTGACCCATCCTGCACCATGGCCGGGGCAGGCGCTCACCTCCTGCCTCCCGCAGAACCACTGGTACGTGAGCCCCGGTGGGCCGGCGGCCCGGCAGCTCAGGGACACATGTGTCCCCTCTGCCACCACCTGCGACTCCGGCTGCTCCACGATGCAGATTGTATCCTGGACTGGGAGAGGAGAGAGCAGCCTGGGCTGGCTGAGACCCCCCCTGCACCAGCTTGTGAGGTCCTGTCCCATCCCAGCCCACCATAGCCTGTCCTCTTCCATCTCACCCCATCCAACTGCACCCTGTCCCATCCTACCCCTCAGTCCTGTCCCAGCCTCTTCATCTCTACCTGTCTCACCCAGTGCCACCCACCCCACCTTATCCTGTTCCATCCCATCCCACTCTGCTCTGCTCCACCCATCTTGTCACACTGTACCCTGTCTTATCCCATTCTGTTCTGCCCCTTCTCTTCCCACTCCATCCCACCCCATCCCTTCTTGTCCTGTCACAGTATGATCCCCGATCCCATCCTATCTCACCCTACTGCATCCATGCATCCTATCCCTTCTTCTCCCATCACGTCCCATTACTCCTCCCATCCCATCCCATCCCATCCCATCCCATCCCATCCCATCCCATCCCATCCCATCCCATCCCATCCCATCCCATCCTGTCTCAACCTACTGCACCCATCCCAGGCCACCCCGCCCTGGGCGCTGCTGTCCAGAGCAAGCCCACCAGCAGGAAGCACTCATCTCCCCCTGCTTTCCCCCTGCTGGTGCCCCCTCCAGGCCCCGTGGGGCCCCGGTGCCCGTCCGTACCGGCACTGCTGAGGACGTGGCAGGCCTGCATGTGCCCCATCCTCCCCAGGCAGCCCAGCAGGTCCTGCAGGGTGCAGTTGCGCTCAGCCAGGAGCTGCAGGAGGCTCTGTGCGGGGCTGCCATGGGGCTCCAGCACCTTCAGCGAGCACATCTCCAGCTCCTCCTCGCTGCAAGGTACCTGCAGCGCTCAGCACCACAGCCCAGCTCCCCCGCCCAGGCTGCGGCCACCATGGGGCCGGTGGGGGCCTGGCTCAGCCCACGGTGCTGCCGCCTGGGGACATCCCCTCTGCCCCTACCTGCACCTGACGCCGCCACCTCAGCCAACCTGCGCCAGCCGCAGCCAGTGATGTCCAGGAGCTGGCAGAGCCGGGCCAGCACCTCCCCACCCAGCGAGCTGATGGGCGAGCTCCAGTCCCCCATCGCACCCAGCCCCTGCGGAGGGACCACAGTGACCACTGGTGATGGCGGAGAATGAGTGCCTGTGCCCCTCCAGACACCACCACAGTGCGTGTGGGTCGGGAGGGAGAGCACCGGCACAGGCGGGTACCCAGTCACCCGCCTGCAGGAGCCTCTCCGGGGAGGAGCTGGGATCTGGAGCCAGGAACTGGAGAGAGAGGAGCTCCCCTGGGACCAGCCCTGACCCTGCAGGGGACAGAGAACAGGGGCCACCACAGAGGGCAGCGGCAGGGACCCCGTGAGGTATCAGCAGCCCCTCAGCACCACCAGGCCCCTGGGGGGGGGCTCCAGAGCCAGCCTGAGCCCTGCTGGGCCACCACGAGGAGCATGGGAGGTTAGGGGAGGGTACAGGGGGGTGGTGGGAAGCACCTCGGGTCCCCTTAACCCTTGCAAAGGCTTTGGCAGTGAGGGGAGCGTGGCACAAAGCAGGGGCAGCGCCCAGGGACCAGCGCCCTCCTCCTCCTCCCCCCAACCCATGCAGAACAAGGCACCCACAGGGGCTGGGTGCCACCAGGGGCTCCCAGGCAGAGACCAGGCCTCGGTGTCCCCAACACTGCCCCGCGGGTGGCAGTGGGACAGGGCAGGGCACGGCACTCACCGCTGGACACAGCCCCAGCCCCAGCAGCTCCCAGCGCTGAGCCCACACAGAGGAAACGAGGGTTCAACCCCTCCAGCCCCCCCGCGCTGCGGCAGCAGCACTTCTGCTTCCTCCTGTGCCCCGGGAGCACGACGCAGCCCCAGCACCGGCTCAGCCCTTCCCACAGCAGCACCAGGGTTGAGGGAACCTCTGGAGATCACCCAGTGCAAGCCCTGGCAGGGCAGGGCCCCCCAAGCAGCTCACACAGGAATTCTGGCCATGGCTCCTCATCCCGTCGCTGGGCACACCACTGAGAAGAGTCAGGCCCCCTTCACCTGGCACCCACCTTTGAGCTATTGATCTGCACTGATGAGATCCCCTCCCAGCCTGCTCTTCTCTGACCAACGAGGCCCAGCTGCCGCAATCTCTCCTCATGTGAGATGCTCCAGACCCCTGAGCATCCCTGTGGCCTCTGCTGGATCCTCTCCAGCTCCTTGTCTCTCATCCCAGGGAGCACAGCCCTGGACACAGTTCTCCAGATGTGCCCTCACCAGGGTTAGTAGAGGAGGAATCGCCTCCCTTGACCTGCTGCCACACTCCTCCCAGGGCACCCCAGGATACTCTTGTCCCTCCTGGCCATAAGCTCACGACTGGCTCATGGTCAACTTATCACCCACCAGCACTCCCAGGTCCTTCTCAGCTGAACTGCTCTCTAGTAGCTGGGAGGACCTTGAAGGTGGCTGCTTTGTCCCCACAGCCCAACTTGAGGCCAGGCAGGAGCTGCTGGGCAGCGAGTCTAGGTCAGAGACAACCCAAGGTGACACCGTGCTACCAGCAAAGCCAGTCCCCACCCCAAACCCACCCCATACGCCAGCGCAGGATCCTTCCAGAGCAGGACCCTTTTACCAGCAAAAAACCCAGCTTCTGTTTCACCAAATACACCAAAAATGCGTGGCTTGTGTTGCCTCAGCCCCTCACAGCTCCCAGCATGAGGCGGGACCTGCGCTGAGCTTGCAGGTGACCTGGACTGGCCACTGCCCCATCACAGGCACCAGTCTCACCAGAGGTTTATTACTCATTTACAGCAAGAAGAGCAGCCCAAGAACAGAAGCTGGGCTCAGGGCAGCCCTGGGCACCTACAACTTCTTGCCCTTCTTCAGCTTGTTGTGCTGCCACGTGTTGTACCTCCGCAGGCGCCTCCAGTACTCGATGGAGTTGGGATCCAGCTCCTCCAGCTTCTTGGGAGGCCCGAGGTGGATCTTAAAGAGCCTGTGAGCAAACACAGAGGATGAGGCTAAAGAAGGGAGGGCAAATGGACAGGCAGGGGACGGAGCGACCGAAGTGTGTGACTGGGACACGTGGATCCACACCCTCCACAGGCACAGTGCCCCCGGCTCCAGCCCTCAGCAGGGCCTCTGGGCTCTGGAGCAGCAGCTTTCCTTCTCCCAGAGCAGCTCCGTGCCCGTCACGCCTGTCTGTGCCTCTGGGATGCACCTCCGTAAGGACACAGCAAGGGGCGCAGGCAGCACCTACCAGTCCGGGTACTCAGAGTCGGGCTTCAGGGCCACCTCGGGGCCATCCTTGAAGTAATTGACGCCCATGGCGTAGGCGCTGAGCATGGCGGGGTCAGTGCACACCTCCGGCGGCTTCAGCCCCTCCTTCGGCACGCTCTTGCCCTTCACCTTCACAGCTGCGGGACAAGGGCAGGGTCAGAGCGGGGAGAGCGGGAGCGGGAGCAGGAGCAGGAGCTCAGTCTGGGCAAGGGACGGGGCGAGAGCCGGGCCCCGGCGGGGGCAGCAGCACCGGGGCAGGAAGGAGAGACCGGGGACGGGAGGCACAGGGCAGAGGAGAGAGCTGGGGCCGGGGAAGGGCCGGGGAAGGGCCGGGGAAGGGCCGGCCGGGGCCGGGGCCGGGGCTCACCCGGTTTCTTGGCGTAGCCACGGGCCGGGCCGGGGAACGCCGCCCGCAGCAGCAGCGCCCGGGCCGCCATCTTGGGGCGCGCGCGGCCCCCGGAACAGCGATAGGCTGAGCCCGTGGAAGGGGCGGGGCCCACCGGGAGGGGTGGGGCAGCGCATGCGCAGCGAGCCCGGCAGCGAGGTCCGGCCGTGCCCCGCCCCGCCCCGCCCCGCGCCATGGACCCCGCCGGTTCCCCGCGGGCTGCCGGGAGCCCCGCGGCGGCGCCGGAGCCGGAGCCGCCGGCCATGGACGCGGAGGAGGAGCCCGCAGCGCGGCCCAGCGGCCTGGAGCGGAGCGCGGGGAGCGGGCGGCCGGAGCTGCCGCCCTTCGCCTCCCCGCCCCCTGGCTGCGGCTCCAGGCAGGACCTGCCCGGCCCCGGGAGCCGGCGGGGACCCGTCCCGGGCCCTCCCGCGGTCCCTGGGAGCGGACGCGGCCTGGGCGGGGCCATGGACGAGGAGGGAGCGAGCGCGGGGCCGCGGGGCCCCGGGAGCTGGGAACCGGGTGCTGGGAGCGCCCTCGCGGCCCCTGGCAGCAGCGACCCTGCGGGCATGGAGCTGGACGAGGCTGCGGAGGACGAAGCCCCGGAGCTGCGAGCCCTGCTGGGGCAGCTCGAGAGCCTCGACCCCAGCCTCTGCGACCCCCCTTGCTCCGAGCAGGGCCCGGGCGCTGGCACCGCTTCTCCGGCGGGGAGCCGGGCCCGGCGGTGCCGGGGCCGGTGCCTGCCGTGCCCGCTGCACGTGGCCATGGGCCGGGGCCTGGACACCCGGCGCTGCTGCGCCCAGCACTCGGCCTGCTCCCGGCCCTGCCACGGGCTGCTGTTCGCCGAGGCCGAGCGGGAGGACTTGCTGAGCCTCCTGTGCCACGAGGGGGGCCTGCCCGAGCCCGGCGCCGGGACCCCCTTGGCTTGCTCCAGTGTCCTGTGTGGGGCCAGCCTGGAAGCGCTGCGGGCTCAGGAGGAGCCGGCCGCTGCGGGGAGCCCGGAGGAAGGAGCCTGTGGCAGCGGGCGCTGTGCAGAGGAGCTGAGCGAGCTCGGCTCCAGCAGTGAGAGCCCCCGGGACTGCTCCCCAGAGCCAGCCTGGGTCTCCTTGTCACCCGCCCCGGAGAAGGAGCAGGCGCCGCCGGGCGCTGTCACCGTGAGTGCCCCGGGGCTCTGGTGGGGGCGGAGGGGAGCCAGGGGTGGCTTCTCCTCAGGTGCCCGGATCTGACCCTCGGGACTGGCTTTGGCTGCCTGAGCGCAGGGGGTGCTCGCACGGCTGAGCCCCGGGATCCCGGCCGCAGCCTCACCTGCTCTCCTGTTGCTTTGCAGAGCAGGGAACCTCCATCCTCCCACCCGGCCTTCAAAGAGGGTGAGTCCTGACCCACCACCTCCTCCTCAGAACCGGGCTAAAGGATATAGGAGGGAGCACCCAGCTCTGCACCCACAGAGGATGGGAACGTGGCCTCAGACTCCAGGGAGCTCTTTCAGTCCCTCACTGAGCAAATGGGGGTGCTCCAGGGATTGGGGAGGGGGCAGTGGGTGGGTTTCAGGCTCGGGAAGGGAGAAAGAAGAATTCCAGAAGGAAGCAGCCCTGGGGCAGAGTTGGTTTAACCGGTGGTGCCAGGGGCTGTCTGCCAGGTGCCATGTGTAGGAACACAGTTAACGGGCAGCAGGACTTGGTACCTCTGGGGTGGGGGGGAGCAGCCCCTGCTTAGTCCCTCCGGATACCTCAGTTCCAGGCCCCTGTGAGCCGGAGGATCTGCTGGATGGTGTGATTTTTGGAGCCAAGTACCTGGGCTCCACGCAACTGATCTCTGAGCGGAATCCCCCGACCAGTGTCCGCATGGCACAGGCCCAGGAGGCAGTGGACCGGATCAAGGTGCACGAAGGGAAGGGACACAACTGTCATTAAGCCTGGTGCCCCATGGGTGTGGGGCACCGCTGCGGACCTGCACAGGGACCTCCTGGCTGTGGGGCAGGCCCCCCCCGGCAGCAGCAGCAGTGACCCGGGTGCTTTGTCCTCCAGGCCCCGGAGGGGGAGTCGCAGCCCATGACAGAGGTGGAGTTGTTTGTCTCCACGCAGAGGATCAAGGTGCTCACCGCTGACACACAGGTGAGCAGGGAGCATCCACATGGATGTGGGGCTCTCCATGGTCAGCTCACACAGACAGGAGGTGTCCCTCAGCTCTCTGTGTGCTCACATGAAGCTTCTTGTGTAAACTGCATCTCCTGGGAGCCACTGGGTTCCCAGCTTGAGCGGGGCGAGCCCCTGATGAAGGAGCTGTTTGTCCCTTGAGGCATAGAGCTGGTTTCTGCCCCTTACAGGAGGCCATGATGGATCACTCCCTGCAGACCATCTCCTACATCGCCGACATCGGCTCCCTCGTGGTGCTCATGGCACGGCGGAAGCTGCCACGGCAGGCGCCGGGTGCGGGGGAGAAGCGGCTCTACACCATGATCTGCCACGTCTTCCACTCAGCCAACGTGAGGAGGGAGAGGCACTTGGGAGGGTTACACCGGGAGCCTGGGCCTCATCCTGCTCTAATGTGACCAAGCGCTCTGGGTCTCCATGCTGGGGGCTTGCAGTGGGCACAGGGAGGGGGAAGGAGCCCACCTGAGCACCTCAGGTGCTGAGGCGCTGGCACAGGGTGCTCAGAGAAGCTGTGGCTGCCCCATCCCTGGCAGTGCTCAAGGCCAGGTTGGACACAGGGGCTTGGAGCAAGCTGCTCCAGTGGAAGGGGTCCCTGCCTGTGGCAGGGGTTGGGGTGCAGGAGCTTTAAGGTCCTTTCCAATCCAAACCAGGCTGGGATTCTATGATCTATGACATGGAAGAGTCCAGTGAGAAAACTGGCATCACGCTGGGGCCCACGCCTTCAGGTGTGGAAGGATTGAGGATGCCTTGGAGTTCTCAGCCACAGTGTTGGCCACTGCAGGGTGCTGGCAGCTGCTGGCCAAGAGCTATGGGGACAAACAACTCCTTTCTCTTTCCCTAGGCCCAGGTCATTGCTCAGGCCATTGGGCAGGCATTCGGAGTCGCCTACCAGCGCTTCCTGGAGGCCAACAGCATCGACCCGAGCGAGCTGAGCCCTCGCCAGTACAGCCATACCCTGGAAGAGCAGGAGCAATACAATGCAGAGCTGAGCCACTTCTCCCAGCAGGAGAACTGCAAGGACGTAAGAGCTGCTTTGGAGGGGTGGAACAGTGTGGGTTACCCTGTGTCACCCCCTCCGTGGCTCCCCAGGACACCCGTGCTGGCACATGCACCCTGTGACTGGTGGTCATAATCCATGCGTGCCACCCCTCTGCAGGTCTGCATCCGGAAGCAGAAGGGGGAAATTCTAGGCATTGCCATCGTGGAGTCGGGATGGGGCTCCATCCTGCCCACGGTGGTCATCGCCAACCTGATGCATGGGGGCCCTGCAGAGAGGTCGGGTGAGCTGAGCATCGGGGACCGCCTCATGTGCATCAACGGGATGAGCCTGGTGGGGCTGCCCCTCGCCACATGCCAGAGCATCATCCGGGTGAGCCTCCTCCAACCCAGCAGGACCAGTGCTGGCAGGGATGAGCGGCAGCCCCACTGCTTCTGAATGTGCCCGAGAGTGTCTGTAACACCCAGGGTGTACCCCCCGATGCTCTGGCTGGGGGGTGGGTAGGTGAGAGGAGGCTGTGGGGCAGAGCAGGAAGGAGCGTGGGACCCATTCTCATCCTAGTTCCTGCTCTTGAGTGCTTGGGAGGAAAGGATGTGACAAGGCAGGGGCAAAGCTGGGGACAAAACTTGCTGTGTCAGCGTGCAAGTGCCTGAGGAGGGTGGGTGAGGAGGCAGGTTCCTGAGCTGGAGGGAACAGGGAGTCCAGAGAGGCCATGGAGGTGCTGTGAGGGCTGAAGCAGCTCTGCTCTGGAGCCAGGCTGAGAGAGCTGGCCTGGGTCAGCCTGGAGAAGAGAAGGCTCCTGAAGGGGAGACCTGAGAGCAGCTCCAGTGCCTGAAGGGGCTGCAGGAAAGCTGGAGAGGGGCTTGGGACAAGGGCCTGTAGGGACAGGCCAAGGGGAATGGCTTTAACCTGCCTGAGGGGAGACTGAGATGAGCTCTTAGGCAGAAGCTCTCCCCTGTGAGGGTGCTGAGGCGCTGGCACAGGGTGCCCAGAGAAGCTGTGGCTGCCCCATCCCTGGCAGTGCTCAAGGCCAGGTTGGACACAGGGGCTTGGAGGAAGCTGCCCTAGTGGAAGGTGTCCCTGCCCATGGCAGGGGTTGGAGCTGGATGATGTTAAGGACCCTTCCAACCCAAACCAGTCTGGGATTCTGTGAACCTGTTACATCTTCTACCTCTCAGGCGGGAAGGAGCTTAGGGCAAGAACAGTGTGGCCTCAGGGCAGAGTGAGACATCTTGGACTGGATTTACAAATTCTCCCTGAATCTGAGCATGGCAGATCCCTGTGTGTGCCTCCGTTTCCCCACTGAACACAGGTTGCTGATCCTTAGCACCATGGCTGCGTCACCCCTCAGCACAGCTGCCAGTGTCCGACAAAGCCATGTCCCATCTTTCAGGAGCTGAAGCACCAGACAGAGGTGACACTGAACATTGTGCACTGTCCCCCTGTCACCACGGCTGTCATCCGGCGCCCTGACTCCAAGTACCAGCTGGGCTTCTGTGTTGAGAACGGTGTGGTGAGTTCTTGGAGTGTGCCAAGGGCTCCAGTCACTCTTCTGCAGGAGCCACGCGGTTCTGGCTGTGTCCACACTGTTCCGATGCTCCTCAGGCTTCCACAGGGAAAGAACCATTGCTTGTGCTACAGGAAAAGGCTTCTCAGAGCTCTCCTCTGCAGCACCGGGGGTTGGATCTGTCACCCTGGTGCTCCTTTGCTGTTTGCTTTCAGGGTGGTGCTTGCTTTCTGGCTTTCGTGGCACGTCCTTAGGGACGTTGTTGCTCTTGCCCATGTTCCAGCTGCTCCCTGCTCTCGAGGCTGTGTTGGAAAAGCAGAGAGGAGCATTTCCAGGGCCAGTGGGAGCTGATAGGGAAGTGGAGGGTGTGGAATCGCAGCAGCCCACTAGCTGCTGCCCCAGGAAGGAGCTCTGACTGCAGCCCAGATGGGAGCACAAGGGTTTGATGGGCTCTGATGGGGGGAGCTGAGGGGAGCCAGGGGAGCAGAAGTCTGTGTGCTGCAGCTCAGCACATGGCCCCAGTGGCAGTGATGCAGAGGGACATCTCAGCCCTTGCTGTGTGCTGAAGGAGAAACACCCAAGTGCAGAGCTCTTACTGGGAGCCTGCCCAGATGCAGGGGTTTGGGAGCCGTTGTTCCTGTCCCTGGGCTGTGGGCACAGCTCTGATCCTCTTTCCCTGCCCAGATCTGCAGCCTGATGCGCGGGGGCATTGCAGAGAGAGGCGGCATCCGCGTGGGGCACCGCATCATCGAGATCAACGGACAGAGCGTGGTGGCAACACCACACGAGAGGATCATCCAGATCCTCACGCAGGCTGTCAGCGAGGTGAACTGGGGCTGGGGCTGCCCACGGAGCTGGTTTGGCAGCAGCACCCTGCAGCCTGGGCTTTGGCATCCCTAGCTGATGTGTGTGTTTCTGCCCAGGTCCACATCAAGACGATGCCAGCCTCCACGTACCGCCTGCTGACAGGGCAGGAGCAGCCCCTCTTCCTCTGAGCACCAGCCTGGCTGCTGCTGCACGTGCCTGGGGCTGCATGGACTGGACAAGCTCTGCTTCCTGCCCCAGCACCCTCAGCAGAGCCTCAGGTCCCCGGCAGAGTCTAATCCTGCACCTCCTCAGCTGTACTCAGGACACAGGGAGGTTCTGGGGGCCTGAGCAGTGTCAGTGCCGGTGGTGCCACAGTTTGGGCACCTCCTCCCCACCTCACAGTGCCTGTTCTGGCCATTCACGGGGTCCCTCACCTTGGCCTGGTGCCGGCAGGAGAGGGGACGCCACATGAAAGGTGTCACCCATGTGCTCACTGCAGATAGTACTTCTACACTCACCGATGGTGCCTTTTGCCATGTGGGGCTGGTGCTAGAAGCGCAACTGCAGGGCTCACCCACTTGTGGGTGCACACTGGCACCCCAAGGAAGACCCAGCAGCACCCTTGGCATCCACTCCTTCCTGGTTTTGCCAAGAGCCTGGGGGGTACAGTCAGTTGCACTGAGCTGGGAAACTACCTCTGCCTTTGCCTGGTGGTGCCTGCAGCTGCTCTGAACTCGTGTCTGGGTTTCAGCTCTCGGTGTGAAGAAGGGGAACACAGGACACAGCACTGCCTAGGCCCACATCCTGCTGGGAGCCCGGGATCATGAGCCCAATGATCAGCCCTGGTGCTGTGTTTTCACCCCACGGCTGAGGTGGTGCTGACCTGGCTGTGCCCAGGTTGGTGTTAAAATAAACGTTGTAGGGAAGATGGGAGGCTGTGTTTTGGGAGCAGGGGAGGCTCTAGTGTTAGATGTTGGAAGTCCCACCATGGCCACCCTGCTCCATGGATTTCCATTGTGTGCTGCTACCCAGCACACACATCAACAGCCCATCCTGGTTAAAACATCCCTTTTATTCCAGCAGTAGAGGCCAAAACAGGGAAGAAGGCACTTGGTACTGGGAACTGCAGGGCACTGTGTGGCGCTGCCTGCATGATACATGGGGAGTGGCAGGGCTACACGTCTGTAGCTGGACCCCACTCATAGCCTTCATCCTCATCTGAGTCATCTCTGGCCTGTGTGAACCTCTTCCTCACAGCAGCATGCTCGTATTCCCTGTGGGATGAGAAGCTGTGGTGATGCCTCTGCCACTGGTGGGGACAGGGCAGGCACAGCTGGCACCTTGGGCTCTTCAGGCCCTTCCCCAGCCCTGAGGCTGCTGCTTGAACCTCCCCTCACAGGCTGGCATTGGTGTGCAGAGTACCTGATGTTGCTGTAGTGCTGCTGCTCCTCTGTTATCTGTGAAAGACCAGAGTGTACAGGTCAGAGGTAAGGGCAGGATTTGTGCCCTGACCTGGGTCTGGGCTATGTTCCCCCATGGAAAACCAGAGCCGGGCATGGATGTGCAGCTGGAGCTTGCAGCAGCTCGATGTGACAAAGTGCCTGTGCCACGGGATAGGAATGAGCCCTGGTAGTCCCAGAAGCTCCCTGTAGCAGTGTGGGGGCACTCACCTGATCCCTCAGGCCATGGCCTGGGGAAGCCCGTGCTGGCTCAGAGGAGCGTGACAGCCCCTCCTGGCTGTAGGCATCCTCGGCCTCGCCGTCGGTGCAGGCATCAGCCTCCCCATCCGTGTCCTCGTAGTCACTGTTGGCGCGACTGTCACAGGTCAGGTAGCCCGAGTGTGCTGCCCTTGATGATGAGTTCAGCAGGTCCAGACTGTCCTCCAGTGCCACATCCAGCTGCGGGGGGGGATGACAGAAACTTGGGACCCCATTGCAAGCAGGACACGGGCGTGTGCCCTGTCACTGCCTGCTGGAGCTCCAGCCTCACCATGGGGATCATAGAATCCCAGCCTGGTTTGGATTGAAGGGACATTAAAGTTCATCCAGCTCCAACCCCTGCCACGGGCAGGGACACCTTTCACTAGAGCAGCTTGCTTAAAGTCCTGTCCAACCCTGGCTTTGAACACTGCCAGGGGCGGGGCAGCCACAGCTTCTCCTTGTACCTGTTCTGCTGCTGTCCAAACAGGCTGATTCTGCTGCATCCTGACAATGTCCTTGATGGCCTCGTACCAGGCGCTGCTGCTGAGGCTGACAGTGGCAGTGAAGAGGTGGCTGCAGTGCTTCTTCATCTTGCTGGCCTGGGCATAGAGCCGCCGGGAGCTCTTCCTAGAGTCAGGAGCCAGCCACTGGCGCATGGCCTTGATGCCCTGACGGCTCTCAGGCTCACAGAACACCACCACTGGGTAGTACTGCACGTAGTTGAGACGCTCCACAGCTGAGGGTGTTATGTCCAACAAAGCATGCTTGCCCTGGGGCAGGACATGGCCATCAGCCCCACTGGGGACAGGGACAGTGACGAGGGCCATGCACTCCCTCTGGGCCAACCCAGCTCTGAGGACATGGGGAAGGTCTCTCACCTTTTCTGCAATCTGCTGCACTGAGTCCATCTTGATAACCTTGGCTGATGCCCCGTCACGGGGCAGGCTGGCTGCAGGACATGGCAATGTGGTGTGAGAGGGGCTGGGGGGGATGTGGCATCTCCAGCAGCCCCAGGATGTGTCACAGAATCACAGAAATATGGAATGGTTTGTGTTGAAAGACCCTAAAGCTCCTCCAGTCCCAACCCCTGCCATGGGCAGGGACACCTTCCACTAGGGCAGCTTGCTCCAAGCCCCTGTGTCCAGCCTGGCCTTGAACACTGCCAGGGATGGGGCAGCCACAGCTTCTCTGGGCACCCTGTGCCAGCGCCTCAGCACCCTCACAGGGAAGAGCTTCTGCCCAAGAGCTCATCTCAGTCTCCCCTCAGGCAGGTTAAAGCCATTCCCCTTGGCCTGTCCCTACAGGTCCTGGTCCAAAGCCCCTCTCCAGGTTTCCTGCAGCCCCTTTAGGCACTGGAGCTGCTCTAAGGTCTCCCCTTAAGCAGCCTTCTCTTCTCAGGCTGACCCAGCCTAGCTCTCTCAGCCTGGCTCCATGGGAGAGGGGCATGTCCGGCATCTACCTGGGATCATGATGCATCAGGAGAGGGTGAATGACTCCAGGAAAGTGTTGGGGTGTCATGGAGAAGGGCAATGAGGCAGGATTAGGACAGAGCAACAGGTCAAGAGCTCCCAAATGCAGATCCCCTGGCACAAGGGGCACTCACGGGCAATCTCAAACAGCTCAGGCAGCTCCGTGCTCAGCTTCTGCATGGCAATATCTGTGATGGGACCCAGGATCACCACTGGCCGCTTGAAGCTGGCTGTGGGGAGAAGACAGACCTGCTCATGGAGCTGGGGTGAAGGCAAAGCTCACAGCACCCCAGCATTCAGCCCTGCTCATGGGCCTGGGACTCCCCATGGGGCAGCCCCAAGGTGAGCGCATTCCTGGTGCCCACCTTCCTTCAAGACCACTCTCTCATAGGGCGGGTAGTGGCCCTGCTTCGTGAGGGCAGACAGGTCCTCCCGGCTCTTCCGCAGCAGCTTCTTGGCTCCCCGCAGGCCCCGCAGCTTCCAGAACTCGGCCCGCGCTCCAGAGAGGCTGGCACTGGACGTGGCTTTCAGCATGGACTCCAGACTGGCAATCTGCTCAGCCCTGCAAGAGGAAAGGGATCAGAACCAGGCTCCAAGGAGTGGGGCAGGAGAAGCCAGTGTCCTGCTCGGTGGCATGGCTGGATGAGACTGTGGTAGCCTCTTCCCTCCAGGACCTTGGACAACCAGAGCATCACTGAGAAGGGATTTCACCAGCTCACACTTCCCACCAGCCCCTGCAAACCCACATCCCAGCCTCACTGGGGAGCCATCCCCTGGCTCTGCTCATGTTGGCTCCTGGCTCCATCCCTACCTCCTCTGGTTGGGGATGATGCCCTTGTCCTGCTCCTGCAGGTCCCTGCCCATGCGCACTGCCAGCCAGCTCCCCAGCCGGCCCCGGTACAGTGTGTCCAGCACGTGGAACACGTCCCCACGAACGAAGCTGAGCCCTGATGGAGTGTCCTTTTCAAAGTCAAAGTGTGTCCGGATGTAGAACGAGTCACCCACATTGGAAGAGATCACCTTCCTGTAAACTGGAGCCCAGGATGAAAGGGACCATCAGGGAAAGAGGTGGCTGAGGAGGAAGATGCTGGAGAAGAAAGTGCTGGAGAGGTTTGGGAAGGAGCTTGGCTGGAGCCTCTACCACACCCCTTGCTGCTAAGGAGCATGCTGGGGACACCTTTCAGGCATGCTGGGACAGGACCAGACCCCCCAGCACATCCTGGCCTCTCCAGGTTGAGCCATGGTGCCAGAAATCTCCCATGCTCCAGGATGATGAAGCACAAATGGGGCCAGGATGGCCTGGTCTGCTCTCATTAGCCCTCTGGGGGAGGAGAAGGAGGGGGGTGCAGGGAGGACAGACTACCCTGCAGGGGCAGAAAGGGCCATGGCAGCTCTGATGCTTGCTCAGAAGAGACAGAGGATGGGGAAGCAGAAGCCCAGGATAACTCCAGTCATCACTCACTGTCCTGCTTGTTCTGGGTCCATAGTGTGACGTCCTCACCCGGTGGCAGACTCATGAGATACTCTACAGCTTCCTCACGGGTCAGGTTCTGGAAACTGGTGCTGTTCACCTGCCATGGAAAAGCACTTAGACACAGCACTGCCAGCAGGAAGTAGGGCATGGGTACCAGCAGGGATCCCAGGGACAGCAGTGAGCAGGCAGGTGGGAGAAGAAATTCATCCCTACGACCAAAGTGTCTGCTACAACCCCCAGTAACACTGGGGAGAGTCTCTGGGCAGCTGAGTTAGCACCTGGACCCCAGTGGGTGTTACAGGGTGCTGTAGACCAGACCGTGGACAAGGGCCTGTAGGGACAGGCCAAGGGGGATGGCTTTAACCTGCCCCAGGGGAGACTGAGCTGAGCTCTTAGGCAGAAGCTCTTCCCTGTGAAGGTGCTGAGGCGCTGGCACAGGGTGCCCAGAGAAGCTGTGGCTGCCCCATCCCTGGCAGTGTCCAAGGCCAGGTTGGACACAGGGGCTTGGAGCAAGCTGCTCCAGTGGAAGGTGTCCCTGCCTGTGGCAGGGGCTGGAGCTGTAACAGCTCTAAGGTCCCTTCCAATCCAAACCAGTCTGGGATTCTATGACCCTCCCCTCAGGCAGTGCCCGCAGAGCCAACCTGATGGCTGTGGGGCACCAGCACTTCCCTGAAATAATGCCCAGCAGGAGAAACCCAAACCCTGTGGAAGTATCAGAGCAGGGAGGGCTGGGACCAGCCCACATGCAGCAGCATTCGGAGCCATTCCCAGCCCTGGGTACCTGCAGGATCTGGTCCCCTTCCTGGATGCCCTGGCTGGCAGCAGGGCTGCCATCCTGTACACCCGACACAAAGATGCCCACGTCGTTCCCCCCGGCCAACTGCAGCCCAACGCTCTTGGCCTTCACGAAGTGCACAGCCCTGCAGTCAGCAGTGTTCCTGTCCCAGGGAGCCATGGTCAGCCTGGCAGGGCCATGTCACCCACCCTGTGACCCCAGCCCTGCCCCAGAGCCACTCCCCATCTCCCACAGCCTTACCCATCCTTGCAGGCAGCACAGGAAGAGGGGCTGGTGTGGGGGCTCTGGCTAGCATCCCCCTCCACAGCTCCCAGCAGGTCTGCAGTGAAGGAGAAGGGGTGGGACAGAAGGTGAAGGGAGCTCAGAGCGTGGGACAAGGCACAGGGAGACCAGGCACAAGGGAGCCTGGAGGAGCCCATTGGAGCCTTTCTTTTCCCTGGCCTGGTCTGAGCTCACTCACCAGGGCCCGGAGCATTGCCAGCAGTTGTGTCGGCTGCAGGGTCCCTGTCCGATTGTCTCCTCTCCCTGGAAGCAGGATGTAGGCAGGTCAGTAGGTGCTGGGAGTCAGAGGCAGTGGCAGCAGAAACAGAGGAGCAAGTCGGGCACTGCCTGGCAGCCCCTTCAGCCAGGCAAAGAGCACAGGGAGGATGCCAGGGAAGAGGGGCTTGGGAGCACAGAATGGGGCTTACGGGGATGAATTCATAGTGGCAGCAGCTGGAGGCTGTGGGGAGGTCTCAGGGAGCGGAAGATGGGACAGTTCAGAGTTAATGTCAGAGATATCTGCAGCAACAGGAGAGAAGATGCATTAGTGACCATCCAGTCCCTGTGCTGGGTATGTGACCCATGGCCCCGTCACCGTGTCCCCTCACCATCCATATGGGAGCTGTCACTCTCACTATCTTCTATGTCAGGGATGTTGACCAGGAACTGCCGGTGGTCCCGGAGAATGAGCAGGGTCAGGGTCCCCTCCATCTGCTCGATGAGCTGCTGGGTGTCAGCCAGGGACATGTCCCCACTGGCCACTCCGTTGATCTGGAGGGGGCAGAGCAAGAGACCTCACTGGGGAAAGCTGCCCCAGGGAAGCCCCACTCAAATGGGATGCTCCAAGTGCTACCTTCCCAGTCCCAACTGGGTTTTTGGGATTATATCCCTCACATTTGCTCTGGAAGTCCCAGCAGCCACAGGAATGCCTGGCCCATGCGTGCAAAGGAAGCGACTCCCTCCGTTTCCTCCTCTCCAAATACTTTGAGCATTGTTACACCTCATACACACTGAACATTTGAGCTCCTGGGGCCCAGGAGACCATGTGCCATGGGACACAGGGGTGGATGCATCCCTGCAGTGATGTTACCCAGGGATGAGCCCCCCCAAAGAGGGGAAGATGAGACCCCCAGCATACACTGTGCACATCATGGCTCCCCCATACCTTCAGGATGAGGTCTCCCTCCTGCAAGGAGCTGCCCTTTGCCGCCAGCCCGTTCTCCACTATGTGCTTAATGAAGAGCTGACTTCCCAGCTTCAGGCCATACTCTGCACCGGAGAAAGCCCAGGACAGTGCAGAGCCCAGGCAGATGCAGGACCCCCTTGAGGTCCCACCCCATCACCATCCCCATAAGCCCACCCTGGCTCCTCTTGGGGCACCAGCAAGCCCCAGAGCTGAGCTCTGCAATCCCAGGCTGAGGCCAGATGGGTTTGGAGCACCCAGCATGGCACACACTGCCAGACCCTGGCACCAACCCTGCCATCACCTCCACCCAGTGGGATGCATGGCCACAAACTGAGTGACATGACCCAGAGACAAAGTGGGCAGGAGGGACCTCACCTTCATCCTGCTTCTGCTTCACCAGGAGTGACGTGATGGGTTTCATGGGCACGTCCTGGCGTGGCAGCCGCTTGAAGCCTGACACCAGGGCCAGTCCCTTGGTGGTCTCTTCATGGCCAAACCCGTTGGCAAAGTGGCGCTGGCTGTAGCCCCTCCGATCCGAGCCGCTGCTTCGCCGCCGGGACACCGGCTTGTGGTGGCGATGCTCATCCTGGTGGTGGCCAGAGCTCCTCTCGCTGGATGAGTCCCCATCGTAGCCCTGGCTGTGGTCCAGGTCATCCTGGGAGCAGTGCAGGGCTGGACCTGCGCTGGGTAACCCACAATCCTCGTCCGAGTCGCAGCGCCGGGGCACCCTGGAGGAGCCAGGGCTGCTCTTTCTCACAGGCAGGTGGATTTTCTTTGGTCTTTTCAGTGTCTGCAGGTGGAAAGGGAGAAGAAGAGGATGGTGGGTGCAGCCATCTCTGCCAGGAGACAGGGGACAAAGGGAAATGGGTTTAAACTTAAACAGGGGATGTTCAGGTGAGACATAAGGCAGAAAAGTTCTTTACTGTGAGGGTGCTGAGGCGCTGGCACAGGGTGCCCAGAGAAGCTGTGGCTGCCCCATCCCTGGCAGTGTTCAAGGCCAGGTTGGACACAGGGGCTTGGAACACACTGCTCTAGTGAAAAGTGTCCCTGCCTGTGCCAGAGGTTGGAGCTAGATGGGCTTAGGGTCCTTTCCAACCCAAACAATTCTATGGTTCTGTTTCTACAGCAATTCCAAGCCCCGAATGAGAGCCCTGGGGCATGGGGGACAGGTCCAGTGTGGTCCTCTGCACAATGCCAGCCTCACCAGGGCACACTCACAATGTTGGCAATCTTGCCACAGGTTTTAAGTGTCTGGACAGCAAAGGAGGACAAGACGTTCTCCATGGACAGGCCGTTCACCATCACGATGTGATCCTTCCTCCTGGCAGGGAAACACAACCATGGGTCACTGCCCTCCCTGTCCCTGCTGGCAATGGGCACCCTCCACATCCCCACATCCCCACACACTCACTGAAGCCTTCCCACCGCTGGTCCCTTGGGCACCACATCTGAAACAACCACCGCTGTGTCCCCAGTCACCCTGTCGGGACGGTCCCGACCTCCAGAGACAGCAAAGCCAAAGCCCCGTTGAGGGTCCTAATGGAGACAAGGCAGAGGGGGGTCAGGCATAGACAGCCCCCACCTCCCATGGCTACCCCAGGCTGTGGTCACCTTGCTCAGCGTCACCGTGTGCTGCTCCCAGATCACCATCTCCTCCATGGTGGCCACGCACCAGCGCAAGCAGAGGAGTGCAGCCGGGCAGCACAGCCAGCCCTGCCCAGGGGCCAGGAACCAGCGCCGGCTCCTCCTCAATCCCACTCGGAGCTGAAACAAAGAGCAGAAGCAAAGCTGAGTGTGAGGATGTCAGGGGCAGGCTCCCTGGACACCCGCCATGGCACCAGGACTTGCAACCACGTTGCAGCCTGGCCAGGCCCATGTGGGAGCAGGTCCTGACACCCAGAGCTCCCAAATCACCCCTCCAGGGGGATCCATCTCTGTCCCCTTGGACATGTGGATGGCTTTTATGCAGGGCAGGTGGGTCATACAGAGTCATGGAATGGTTTGGGTTGGAAGGGACCTTAAAGCTCCTCCAGTTCCACCCCCTGCCACAGGCAGGGACACCTTCCACAAGAGCAGCTTGCTCCAAGCCCCGTCCAACTTGGCCTTGAACACTGCCAGGGATGGGGCAGCCACAGCTTCTCTGGGCACCCTGTGCCAGTGTTGACCCTCAGGAACCATCTCCATGACTGGGACCTTGTGGTCCTGCTCCTCTCCAGGGGGAGAGCCCAGGGCACTGCTCTGGACAGCCACGATGGCTCCCCCACTGCGCCTCAGCCACCCTCCAGCCTCCACACTGGTGCCATGTGAAGCTGGAAAACTTCACAGCTCCCTTGGGGCAGCTCCGGTGGGACCAGGGGCCATCAGAGATGCTGCCACCCTGTGGGCAGTGCCTTCGGAACGCTGAGCAGGGATCCCATGGGAAAACTGCAGAGGTTTTTTGCCTCTCCATGCCCAGCCCCTCACTGGAGCTGCACCACAGCACCAGGCTGCACCCCCAGAATGAGGCCCAGGTCCTAGTAGCCCCAGGAGGGACAGTGTAATCATTCACCCGAGGCTCAGCAATGGTCCCAGTGGCGAGGCTGTGAGCAGAGGGCAAAGTCCAGGCTTCCCCTCTGCGTCATGAGCCACCGAAACCAGCCCCAGTGCCTGCCTGGCACCCGGTGGTGTGTGACACGTGGGGACACACGTGCCCAGAGCGTGGCTGGGGCTGAGCAGGACCCCAGTAAGACACAGGAGCCCCAGCATGGTGGTGGGGTGGTTTCCGGCTGGATCAGTGACCTGAACTGCCAGGACCTGGATCAGGCATGTCACCAGTGCTGGCTGGCTGGTGTTTACGGGCTCTGGTGAGCCACAGGTCCCAGGGACCCGATCACAGGGCACCCAGAGCATCCCCCTCCCTGGGGTCACGTCTCACCCACAGTGCCAGAGCCAAGCCCGTTTCCACCAACAGCCTCTCGCTGTCCCCACTGTTGCCCTGTCACCAGGACACCATGAACCAGCCACACATCCCACTGCCACCCCCACAGGCAGCAGCAGTTTGGGGCAGGCGGAACAGCATAGGGATGGCAGCAGGTCCAGACTCACCAACCAGCACAGCCCACAGGGCCACCAGGCCCTGGACTTGTCCCCGGTGTCTCTGTGGGGACCTGGAGTAGGACATGCCCCAAGCCAAAGGCCAAGGCTGGCACCGGAGGAGCCGGCTTGGCCGGTTTGTGACAGAAACCAGCCCGCACCCTAAATGTCCCCGCCGGGAGAGGCAGTATCAGGGCAGAGCTGACCACAGCCCAGCCCAACACACCCAGCACTGGGAGCCTCGCACATACCGTGGCCAGTGTCTCGCAGGGCTTTTGATCTTAAAATCACAGAATCCCAGCCTGGTTTGGGTTGGAAGGGACCTAAAAGCTCCTCCAGTTCCAACCCCTGCCACAGGCAGGGACACCTTCTGCTAGGACACCCCTGCGTTCAACCTGGCCTTGAACACGGCCAGGGATGAGGCAGCCACAGCTTTTCTGGGCACCCTGTGCCACGCTGGGCACCCTGTGCCAGCTGACCCTTCCCCCTCACTGGGAAGATTTTCCTAATACCTCCCCTAAACCTCCTCTCTAGAAGTTCAAACACCAAATAAAGCTTGGGTTGTGCTGGGGCAGCTCGTCCCACTGCAAGCTCCCTGGTTCAGGGCTGTGCCCACCTCTGGCTGACAATGTGGGGACCCCCCTCTCAACATGGGTCCTCAACCTGGAACCCCAAAGCCTTCCCTGGATCAGCAGGGTCCCTGCTCTCAGCCAAACCCTCACCCCCTGGCAGGTCCCAGCTGCCCCCAGAAGCTGCTTTAACCCAACTCCAGCCATGTTGAGATGGGAGACCCTGCACAAGGGTCTCCGGGAGCTCTGACCCCACCGGAATCCATGCAGAGGATGGAGGCACCTCGGGGTGTGGAACTGTGGTAGCGGGGTCCCACGATCTCCCACCTCAGGGTATCCCCCTCTACTGGGCAGGACTCCAGGAAGCTCATTGGGTCCTGGAGCCATTCAGAGAGGGACCCGGAGCACAGCCGCTTCCCAGGGGACAGCAGAGCGCAGGGACAGGGTCAGATACTCACCAAGCCTTGGGTCTGAGCAGGAAGGAGCCAAGCTCCGGGGCTGGTGGCAGTGGAGTCACTCCAGGGTGCTTTGCGTAACCCTTTGTGAACCAGATGTTTCCTGCAAGCGGGAAGGAGGAGGATGAGGGTCGCGGGGAGGTGTCCCCCGCAGTGCTGGTGGCTCAACCACCTTCCCCGGACCCCCAGCACCTCCTCGGGAGCCCCGGGAGGGGAAGGGGCCGCGGCCAGAGGAGACGACGGGGCCGCGGCGGGGTGAGGAGGGGAAGGTGACTGTGCCGATGGGTGCTGTCCCCGCTGCCCCCCACCTGGGGACGCGCCCCGCGTCGCTTCTCTTCCTGCAGAGCCGCTTCCCTGCGGTGAAGGAGACGAGCTCCACGCCGCGGCTCTCACTCCAGGCCGCCGCCGCCGCCAACCGGCGCCGGTACCGGGTCCGCAATGAGAGGTGGCAGCCCCGCGGCGGGGTGTCGAGGGGGGACCAATCCCTCCGGAAGCCCCCGGCCACGAGCCGCCACCGCGGAACAGGAGCCATGGAGCCGCCACTGCTCACTCAGACTGGCCCCGGCCAGAGTCCCGCAGCACCGGCTGCGCGACACACGTTTGTCCCCCAGGGCCGGGGCACAGGGGTGTGAGGTGACCGGCCGGGAGAACCGGCGGGGCCGGCTCGGGCTACCCCGTACCCTCAGGGTTATCCGGTACCCCCGGGGCCGCCCCATAACCCCGGGGCAGCCCCATAACCCCGGGGCCGCCCCATAACCCCGGGGCTATCCCGTACCCCGGGACCTCCAGGTGGAGCCACGGCCCCGGACACGGCGGCCAAAGACGAACCCTTCGGAGAGGGCCCCGGTCCTCCGGGGGTACCGCGAGGGTAGCGGTGTCCCGAGCCAGGCCGGCCCCACCCCCGCTGCCATGGCAACCGACAGGTCCCGCCCCCCGCACATCTCTATGGTGCCTCCCTAGGCACAGACACCTTCCCTGCCCCGCGCCTCGCAGTCGGGCCCCGGAGCGGTCCCGCTCCCACAGCCCGCGGGTTATCGCGACAGACCCGCCCCCGCGTCGCGATTAACCCCGGCGGAAAAGGCTCGCTCTACTTCCGGTACCTCTTCCGCCCTGCAGCTCTGGGGCGTGTCTGTCCGCGGCACCTCCCGCGCCCTATGGTGCTGGCTGCTCCCAGCCTCCTCAGCGGCGGCGGCCGGGGCCGGGAGGAGCGCGGCGGAGGCGGCGGGCGCGGGCCGGGGCCTGCCCCGGGCCTGCCGAGCGCCCGCCATGGAGCCCGATGTGTCCGAGGAGGAGGAGGGCTCGTCAGTGGAGGGCGCCGGTGCCGCCCCGGAGGCCGGCGCGGGGGCCCTGGACGCGGCAGGAGGTAACGCGCTGCGAGCACCGGGCGGCAGCACCGCCCCCGGCCGGTTCCCCCGCGAGCCGCCGTTCACCCGATCCCGGCGGAGCCCCCCGCGGCACGGCTTCCCCTCGGGCTCGGAGTGGTTCAGCCCAGCTGCACCCCCCGCGGGGGGCTAAGTGGTACCTCCCGGCAGTGCTCCGCGTTGTGCGTTGGATCCCATGGGGGGGCTCCGAGTGGTTCAGTCCAACCGCCCCCACCCGCAGTGTGCCACCCCTGGGGTACCGCGTGGTCCCGTCCAACTGCGGCAGCCCCCGTCCCCCCGGATCCTGAATGGTTTAGCCCCCCCCCCCGGAAAGCCTCTGCTTGAGGGGGGCTGCCTTGCATTGGGGGCTGCTGGGGCCCCCAGAAAACTATCTTCGAGAGGCAGGGAGCAAGCCCCAGGCTGACAGCACCATTGACAGCATTAACAGAGGATTCTGGGTTGCCCTTGGCGGGGTTGGACATGTGGGGCTGTCCAAGCAGTCCTGCCTCTGCTGCCTGATAATTTATAGCTCATTAACGACCTCTTAATTGCTGGTTTTTGAGGTGTGTGTGGCTGCAAAGCCCTGCCCGGCTCTTGGGTTGATTTTATGGGTCTGACAGGATGCCCCCGATCACCCGCCTGAGCCCCAAGTTCATTCTGAGCCTCCTATGCGGTGGATGGGTTTTGGCTGTGTTATGACAGCCCATCTTGTTCCCAGGCTTTAGATGAGGCTCATTAGCGCTAAACCCCCAGCAATGCCAGCGGGAGCTGTGATTGTGTCATGGGTGTCACACGCTGTTGGGAGGGCTGGATGTGAGGGGTAATTTTGTGTGAGGGGCTGTGGTTGAGGCATGTGGAAAGCTGTCCCTAGCACTTCTGCTGCAGTCCCTTGCTGTGAAAGGAAAGAGCTGTGCTCAGCTTGCCTTTGGACCTCTTTGTTGGGAGCATTCTCCCAGCACTGCTGTGGGCTTCCAGCCTGGGATGCTGAGGGCGCAGCTGAGAGAGCCTCTTGGCAATGAACAGTTATAATACTCTTCATCCTTCTGACTTCTCTGCCACCTTACCGTGTGCTGGGGAGGGGACAGGGTTGTTGCTCACGCCAAGACCATTGGGTTTAAGGAGGAGTGTTTGTTTTCCTTCTCTCTGCAAGTAACTCCGAACGTACAAGCCAGCAGCTGGCTTACCTGACGCTAATAGTAAAAAACACATGAATCAGAGCCAGACATCTCACTGCTGCTTTGATTCCCTGAGTCAAGTTGCTTACTCCTCACTTGGGCCACATCCAACCTGTGTCACTCGGCCTCGCTTTGCAAGCGGAGCTCCTGGGAGGGCTGAGGACAATGTGACAGCAGCTAGTGGGTATTGTGTGGAGGGGTTGGGCCTGGCTCTCGATGGCTCTGCTGCTCTTGGGTCAGGACTATGCCTGGTGGAGCTCATCACTCCTGACCCGTCCCTACACGTCCTTCGTGCTGCTCCCCACGGTGATCGTGCCATGGATGAAGGATGGAGGGTCACCAGCACAGCCAGAATCTGATCCCTGCCTTTGTGCTGCTGAGCAAGGGCGGCTGGTGCTGGGCTTTGGCTAAATGAATCTGGTGGGGGTAAGCCAGAGCATGGGTCAGGTCAGTGAAGACCTGCCCCAAGCACTCAGTAGGTATCAAGGGGAACTGCTTAGTAAAACTGGATGGAGAGGGCAGAAAGGCGTGGAAAGTTGACATGAGGCATGGAGAGGCTTCTGAAGGGAGCTTTTGAAAGTCTTTGAGGGAAAAAACCTCCTTTCGTGCCAGCAGCAGGGCTCATGCAGGAGCACACAGCCCCAGTTTGTCCCTTTCTGAGAACCCAGATCTGAGGTTCGTAAGTTTTCTCACCACCATGCTGGAAAAGGGTGTTTCAAAATGTAACGGGTATAAATAGCTTCTGTGCTCCTCCCTGGATCCCCACCCTCATCCCTTGGGAAGGGACTGCAGGGGCCATTCACCCATTCTGGTGTGAATAGCAGAGCTGTTAGCACAAGTAGAGGTGGGTGTGGAGGCTCTGTGTGCCTGCAGAGTGACAGGAGCACCGAGATCCTTCAGGAATGGTTGGGTGAGGAGAGGGCACATCATCATCATCCCTCTACCCAGGAGACAGAGCACCTGGAAACCTCCTTTTCTCCAAAGGCACTCAAGTTATTGGAGAGCTGTTGGCGCACATGGGTGGCAAAGCTGGTCTCCACCACTGCTTGCAAAGGTGGAAATCCTCAGCCTAATGGGGAAGGAAAATTGGTGTCTGATTTACTTCCAATTCTTGCATCTCCTGTTCCATGTGTTGCAGCCTTCCCATCATTTATGGCTTGGAGTCTGGGCAGAAGCCTCCAGCATGGTATTCAGGGTTGAATTCTCTGCTTTAGGAAGCTGAAATGACAAGTTGTCTCACTACAACCGGAGCTGGAGGTAGCAGAGTGGAGCTCTCCATGTTGTTGGATGCTGACAGCACCTATAAGTCCATCTGCACTGGGAGATCACCCAGCTCTTCCCTCTTTGCCATGATCACTTCGAGGTGACTTTTGAAGGGCTGCTGGCAGCATTGTTTTGTCTCAATGAGCAGGTTAGAGATAAGAGAAGAATTCCACCCCATTCCACCCAAGCAGCTCAATCCATAGCAAGGTGATGGAGAGGGAAATGGGAGAGAACTTATCAGCCTGAGGAAAAATCAAATGTAAACATCATCCCCAGCATGATGCTGGTTCACAGCTTTGCTGGCTGTCACATGCCTCCTGCCCATGAAATGGTGGTAGCAAGATGATTTCAGAGGGAGTCAGCTCAGCAAAAACAGACACAAAAACACCTTGTGCCTTGAACTTGTAAAGACCCTGTGGTTCCTTCACAGTCAATAAGTCACAGCTCAGCTGCAGGGAAGGAGGAAGGCAGCGAAAATAGAATTCAGGCTGCTCGGGCAAATTAATTGTCCTTTAAGATCTGAATCTGCAAATGGGAAAGCAAATGGGATTATGGGGCCTAGGGGCTGTGAAAGGCGGAGTTTGGATGGCAGAGAGATCCAGGCAGTGTCCTGAAGGATGCTGAGCCCATCTGTATCCGTGTCAGGCCAGGCTGGAGATCGAATCCCTGAGAACCCAGGATGAAGAATGATTAATCTCATTTTCATTAAGTAGCATTTGGCATTGACCTGTATATAACAGTCCGTTCCAGCAGCCCTGGATCTGCTGCTGGCAAAGCTGCCACTGTGTCCCACTTGGGAAGCTCGCTGGGCCTCTCCTGAAGGGCTCCTCGGGGAATGACCTGAGTGGATTTAGTATGAGCAGTGCATCATTTGGGAATGATTATTGAAGTGATTCACTGACATGACCATTATGGGCTCTTGCCAGATGCACAATCTTACTAAATCTGATTTTCCTATGTAAGGTGGCTGCAGCCTGGAAAGCAGCAGCAGGAATTCCAGTGCTTGCTTCCTTCATGAGCACATCTCCCAGTTGCAGCCAGTCAAGTCCAGCAGTGGGTGTGCGAGCCCCTGACAAAGCCCTTCCCATTGCCTGCTGCTCACATCTTTGTCACCTTTGATTACTCTTGTCCATCTCTCCGGATGTTGGAAGGGGAAACGCTCTGGAGCTCCCAGCACAAGGAAGGTTTGGCTGTGTTTAGGTGGCAGTGACCTTCGCCAGGCTCCAGCGTGGACACTTCTGCACACTCCAGTGTGGGGACAGAGCTGCTGGAAAACAGGAACCAAAGCTGGTCCTGCTCTCCTGGGTGATCTGATCCCATGAATGCATCCTCCTTGCTCTCCCCAGAGCCTGTGGTGCTGGGGAAGCTGGCAGGAGCAGCATGCGGCATGCTCTGTAGACTCTGCAAAGTTTAAAAGGGGTCTTTTAAAGCCTTGGCACCTCCTTTCCTCAAAGACAGTTGTGCAGAGAGAGCATGTAGGGCTCCAAGCAGCCCTACAGCAGCCCATGACAATAAGGTAGCAATGGGGTTTTTCCTTCTATAGGTAGCTCTTAGAAAGACTCCGTTCCTGAAAGCAGCCTGGTGCTTGTGTGAGTTTGCCAGTGTTGTCAGAAGCTGAGTTAACCTCAGGACTTCCTGGGAAAGGTTTTCTGTAATTAAAGAGCTAAAAGTGATGGAGCAGCTCCTGTGTCGCTCTGTCTCTCCTCACCCCTGCGTTGAAGCAGAAAACACTGTCAACCCCTAATTAAGCATCACCATCTCCCATCGTGTGTTCTTGTGGCTTCCCCAGCTTCCGTGTGGGTTTTTGCACTGGCTTGTGGTGAATAACCCGCCTGAGTCGGAGCACGTGCCACAGCAGAAGGAGATGGGGAGGCTTCAACGTGTTCACTGTGAGCTGCTCACTGCCAACCACAACGTGTTCCGTTGGCTCACGGCACTGG